TAAATTAAATTTTCGATTAAAAACAAATGAAAGCAGAAAAGTGAAATCAAACTTCTCTAGATTTGCAGTTCCTTTTATTTGTCGCAATAATGAGACTATTGGATCTCTTTCTAGCCAAAAGTTTACTAACTCCAGAAATGCGTTGTTTCACTCAAAAATCAAAATTATTCTCATGACTAAATACGTTGTTATCTCAATCAACATGACCATACGCTGTTCCAAGTAAATTATAATTGAAGTGAGCATTTCGTATGTCGAATCCGGATGAATATTGTTACGCGGAAAAAGCTTTGAGATTGTAGTAAGATGTCGTTGAGGTGAAAGAAGTTTATATTTCTCGACTAAAAAAAACGCATTAGTTTACAATAACAGAATCACAGATTACGACAATTCAACACAAACTTGGATATCACAAATTTCGTTCAATGTGATGTACGGAAAGCTCAATTTGAACATCGGCTTCATTCGAGAAAACAACACTCAATTCATTCCTCAATGTAATCACCTCCTAGGTACGAATTTTTTATCAATTCATGAAAGTAGAAAATTTCTCGACTGGAGATTATATTAGGTTTAAAAAAATAGAACTTTTCCATTTTTGTGGTGAATACATGTGACTTGACACCAAGGACTGTTTTATTTGATTCAAGTAAATGTATCTCAAGAAGAAATAATTGATATTCACCGTAAAATCTTATTAGTTTGAAATTGGTTCAAGTATATAATACTTGTTCCAAGAAAGAAACATCTCAATAAAAAAAATCCTTTCTATCAGTGTACTGAGGCTGTTCTTCTGTGAAATGTTGTCCCATGCACATGTAGGTAATTATATTTTCAAGTTTTATGACAGCAATTTTTTTTCGCGTAAATTTCAAATGTTAAATGTTGAATGACAACTGCAGGACACTCACGTGACTGAAAATATAACAAAGATGAATAATTTTAATCAGAATAAATCCCACTTGCAATCCTTTTTTCATTCTATCGCATGCTGTTCAGTTTTTCAAGATTCTAAATCTAAATTCGGAGGGATATCTAGTAATGAATAAAAATAAACTCCAAGTAAACTGAATTAATTTTTTCATTTCCATTAAAAAATGAAAATAAAGTGCATTGCTCTGATATATTTTCAGTCACCCCAAAAATAAAAACATCAATTACCCATAATCACCGAGCAAAAACGACAGAAACCACGATTTCACAAAATACTCACGTCCCTGCAGTTTTAATATCCCCCTAATTACTGTCAATACCACAGCTGTAAAAAGTTTTACGTACAAACAATAATCATATTCAAACATCTATACCACAACATCTATAACAGCGTAATTGATTTTGCCGTTGGAGTGGCACGTGTCGAGCCAGACAGTCACGCATAAATATTCCAACCACCCCAATTAAGTCCTGAAGAACGTGACACTAATGAACTCGTCAAAACTCAGATTAAAAGTCCCCACCGATTTGGAAACATTAATCAAACGATTTAATTTCATTTTTTTCGGTGTAGATTTGCGCAGATATTTTAGAATGGGCGGGGGCTGACTAATCTGCGGCTTTTATCACTTAAAAGCCGTTTGAAATCGCGACTGAAGGCCGAATTTCAACGACACGCCTAAGAATATAATTTCGTGAAATAAAAGGATGACCGAATAAAAACTATTTATTTGATTAAAATTAAAATAACGATTGATATGTTGAGTAAACTCACCGTTTCTGTGACAGTTCAGCCAAGAAAATCCTGCCTTAACGGCAATTTAACTTATAAACTACATTTCACATATAGCAATTGTACCACAATTAACGATCGATAAACATTGTAATTGTTAATCTATGAAACTTTTCAACAACAATGAGGCGGCATGGTGGTGCACATTTTTACACTTGCTAGGAATGTTAAGGTCTGAACGGTGTGTGTGTTGTGTGGTGTTGGTGGGAGGATGGCTTTGAGCAACCAGCTGAGAGTTGCCAGTCGGGCATGTGCCGTAGCATCGCTCTCATCCCGTTTTTCAGGGATCAATATTTCAAGGAGTTTACTGGTGCGATCGGTCTCCGCTAAATTCACTGCCACTCGGTGTTATCGGTTTAGGGTAGGGAACTTCTTTATCGAATTAATTGCAATTAGGGGGGGAAATTATTTAGATGGGAATTTCCGAGGGGTCATTAGTCCATTATGAGGAGAATATTAGTGATTCTTTGAGAAAAAATTAACAAATGAAGTAGGAATAATGAATAAATAATCGTTGGAAATGATTATTCGTTCAGTTGGAGAAATTGACAAAAAAATTGAAGCGAAATTTCGTATTTATTACTGTTTTTATAAATTTTCTAAGACCCACATTTTGAAATCTGATAAATGGTGCAAGTAATTTCAATTTGGCGCTTTAATCCTCTTAACAAAATTCTATAATTGGTGCACAGGTCTGACTCTACGGGAACAGTTGAAATAATTAATGTTAATAGTTTCGAGTATGAATTTTCGTTATCGAATTAATTGCAATTAGGGAGAAAAGGAGGAATTATTTAGACAGGAATTTTCTTGATATCCGTATTCCTCCGTTTATGAGGAGAATATTTTTGATTTGAGGAGAAATCAACAAATGGAGTAAGAATAATGAAGAAATAATTATTAAAAGCGATTATTTGACGTTCAGTTGGAGGAATTGACAAAAAATTGTAGCGAAATTTCGTATTTATTACTATTTTTATAAATATTCTAAGACCCACATTTTGAAATATGATAAATGGTGTAAGTAATTTCAATTTGGCGCTTTAATCCTCTTAACAAAATTCTATAACTGATGCACAGGTCTGACTGTACGGGAACAGTTGAAATAATTATTGTTAATAGTTTCGAGTACGAATTTTCGTTATGGAATTAATTGGAATTAGGGAGAAAAGGGGGAATTATCTAGATGGGAATTTTCTTGAGATCAGTATTCTATTATGAGGAGAATATTTACTTTTGTTTCTGCGAGGAACAATCAACAAATGAAGTAAGAATAATGAATAAATAATCGTTGGAAATGATTATTCGTTCACTTGGAGAAATTAACAAAAAAAATTGAAGCGAAATTTCGTATTTATTACTGTTTTTATAAATTTTCTAAGACCCACATTTTGAAATCTGATAAATGGTGCAAGTAATTTCAATTTGGCGCTTTAATACTCTAAACAAAATTCTATAACTGGTGCACAGGTCGGACTCTACGGGAACAGTTGAAATAATTAATGTTAATAGTTGCGAGTTCGAATTTTCGTTATCGAATTAATTGCAACTAGGGAGAAAAGGGGGAATTATTTGGATGGGAATTTTCTTGAGATCAGTATTCTATTATGAGGAGAATATTTACTTTTGTTTCTGCGAGGAAAAATCAACAAATGAAGTAAGAATAATGAATAAATAATCGTTGAAAATGATTATTCGTTCAGTTGGAGAAATTGACAAAAAATTAAAGCGAAATTTTTATAAATATTCTAAGACCCACATTTTGAATAAATAAATGGCGCAAGGAATCAGTTTTCCTTTTTAATCCTCTCAACAAAATTCTAAAATTGGTGCACAGCTCTGACTCTACGTGAACACTTGAAATAATTAATATTAATAGTTTCGAGTAAGAATTTTCTTTATTGAATTAATTGTCATTAGGGAGAAGGGGGAATTATTTAGATGGAAATTCACTTGAGATCGTAATTCTATTCTGAAGAGAATACTTTTATTTCTTCGAGAAAAAATCAACAGATAGAATAAGAATATGGAAAAATGATTTTTGAAAACGACTTTTCATCGTTTAATTGAAGTAATTAAGAAACAATTCAATTGAAATCAGATTTTTATTCCAATTATCATAATTATTCTCATACACACATGTTGAAAAGAAATGAATAGCGCAATTAAACCTGGAGCAATCACAATGTTTCTTGTTGATTCTCTCAACAAAATTCTAAAAATGGTGTACAGCTCTCACTCTCCGTGAACACATTGAGAGAAAAAAAGTTCTGCCGAAAAATTATATGTTCCACCAGGAAATATTTAATGGAGTATAACGGATTTACGTGATCGAAATTAACCGATTTGATAAAAAGAAATTGCAGATTTTTCACAAAAATTGCATTGAATCACCATTAATAATAAAAAAAATTGAATCATCATTAGAAAATTTCCCCCCAAAAAAACGGACAACGCCAATGCTTAATAAAACGATTGAACTAGGAACTCTAATTTTTGCAGAATTTTTAAGCGTCGAGAAACACTGTAAAATATAAAAAAACGAAAACGGACGGTACCGCGCACATTGAGCGAGTGATCGAGTGTTAAGGATGTTTATCCAAAATCGCAAGTATTTGAAAAAAATTTTTTTTTTTTTTTTAACTGAGAGATGAAGATCTTCCCTTCACTTTCATACAAATTACAACCCACAAACCCATGCTCATTATTTAGAAATGAAATAGACAAAATGCACCAAATGCATGCGTTAGCATGCGCTTATATGGGATAGAATCATTCAAATATTTCCTCTTTTTCCCCGGGTACCCCAGATTTTGTTCTAGCCATTGAATGGAGTATGATTTTGCGCATTACCTTCTATTTTTATTTTTATTTATAGAGATAAATTTCATAAGAGCCCGTTTTGAGGAAAAATTAGCTTATTCACTTCTGCCGAGACTATTGCCATTAATTTTTTTTCAACATTAGAAAAGTTACGTTTGCATATTTTGCTGTCAGCCGAAAAAATTATAGAATTTTCCTTGACCATGAAAAAAAAACACATTTACCGATAATTTACCGACACTGGCTAAACATCCTTGACAGCTTTGAAATCTCAAAATATGGATTTTTTTCTGGATGAGACTTTTAGTCATATCTTTAAATAAACCTTTTTTTTGGTGTAACATTCACTTACAAGAACCGGATTCTCTTCCAATCCTCTATAGAACCAATCTATTCACCCAAAAGACATAAATGTCTTACGAGAACTATTACTGCTACGGACATTATCATGTTTCAATGGAACCATCCTTTATTGACTACAACTAAATTGATTCAACACGACAAAACATCTCATCCGTGGAACACATAATTTTCCAGGAAAACTAATTTTCTCTCTCAATGCACTTGAGATATTTAATGAGACATGAATAATGATAATTCTGGTGATCACTAATGCTGAAGATTCGTGGAAATTTGAAGACTTCCCCGCGGCGAAATTCGGATGTTCCAAGTACTGCGGTTTTGGGTCATAAATTTAGTACTCGTCGTCCTCGGTGTGGACGGTGTCCTCTTGTACCTCGCGGTAGTCCAACTCGAGGGCCGCCAGGTCCTCTCGAGCCTCTGAGAATTCTCCCTCCTCCATTCCCTCACCGACGAACCTAATTAAAACCAAGTAGAATAAGGAAAAAGGAAAAAAAATGACATAACTAATTTTGATGGAATGAATATTCTGAAGAATTTACCAATGTACAAAGGCCCTTTTGGAGTACATCAGATCGAATTTATGATCAATTCGTGCCCAGGCCTCAACGATCGCTGTTGTATTACATAGACAACAAACTGCTCTTTCTGTTCGCGCTAAATCACCTCCAGGAACTACTGTTGGTGGTTGATAATTGATTCCTACCTGATAAAGTCAAGAAAATCTAAATCTAAGTAGACTTCTGGTGATGAAAATTTGGTACTCGAAATTAAGACTCCAGAATTATGGGTCAGAAATGAAGGGTCAAATTAGGGGTTACAAGGGTCAGAATAAGGGTCTAGATAAGGGTGATGGGGGTCAAATTAAGGGTCATGGGGACCAAACTAAGGTTCACCAGAATGGAAATAAGGGTCACAAGGATTATAATGAGGGTCTGAATAAAGCTCACGAGGGTAAGACTAAGGGTCGTAAGGGTCACAAGGGTCAGAATGAAGGTTATGGTCAAAATAAGGTTCAGAATAAGGGTCATGGGGGTCAAAATAAGGGTCATGGGGATGAAACTAAAGTTCAACAGGGTTAAAATAAGGGTCGCAAGGGTCAAAATAGGGGTCACGAGGATTATAATGAGGGTCAAAATAAATTTCACGGTGAGACTACGGGTCACATGGGTCAGAATGAAGGTTATGGTCAAAATAAGGTTCAGAATAAGGGTCATGGGGACCAAACTAAGGTTCAACAGGGTTAAAATAAGGGTTGCAAGGGTTGAAATAAGGGTCGCGAGGATTACAATGAGGATCAGAATAAAGGTCACGAGGGTGAGAGTAAGGGCCGTAAGGGTCAGATTAAGGATTACAAGGGCTTAAGTAAGGGTTATGATCAAAGTAAGGTTCAAAATAAGGGTCATGAGGGTCAAAATAAGGGTCGCAAGGGGTCAAAATAAGGGTCACTAGGATTATAATGAGGGTCAGAATAAAGGGTACGAGCGTGAGACTAAGGGTCACAAGGGTCAGATTAAAGGTTACAAGGTTCAGAATAAGGGTCATGGGAGTCAAAATAAGGGTTAGAATAAGGTTAATGAGAGTCATATGGGGCTCTCTATATTATTAAAATTAAAATCAACTTTTGATATAATAATTAACAACACGAGTAATGTCAACCCAAACCACTAGAATTATCACTAGATGAATAAAATATTTACTTTGAAACCGGTGGGACACCACTCAACAAATTGCACATGCTTCTGCTTCTTGATCATTGCAATAGCATAATTAACATCCTTAGGAACCACATCCCCCCGATACAGCATGCAAACGGCCATATACTTGCCCCGTCTGGGATCGCAATTAACCATCTGATGATTCGGTTCGAAGCATGACGCTGTAATATCCGCAACTGTTGACCTCTCGTGACCGGCTTTATCCGCCGACAGAACTGGAGCATACGTGGCCTATTGTGAAACCAAGAAAATCGTATAATCAGGTCAACGGGAATTTTGTTCGATTTCAAATTACATGTTCCACTTACCAGTGGGAAGTGAATGCGAGGGTAAGGGACTAGATTCGTTTGGAATTCTGTGAGGTCGACATTGAGAGCCCCATCGAATCGCAAACTCGCGGTTATGGACGAGACAATTTGGCCGATTAGTCTGTTTAAATTTGTATAGCTTGGTCTCTCGATGCTCAAGTTTCTTCTACAGAGCTCGTAAATAGCCTGAGGGAAATAATGGTTTTTTCATAAATTGATGTTGAATTTATATAAGGAGAGTAGTCAGTAAAATAGACAACAAATTCCAGAAATTTTATCGTGTTCAAGTTACACTGAAATTTCAGGAAATCTTGTCATTGACAAATCAAATAGTCCATTGATTTTCTGTTCAAATGATCTGAAAATCAATAAGACACTTGATTTAAGTTCAATTATTCTGTGAAAATTTAGAAAAATCTGGAAAATTCTGGGAAGAATTGAAAATTCATGTCATTTTCTTTCTGAATATTTATGTTCCACTGAAAATTTAATCGAGCTGTAAAACTTCCATCTCACTCCCACTGAAAACTCATCAATTTCCGGGAATTCTACTTAAAACTTGAAATTTCATAACCATTTGTTTCCTAAATCCGATTCAATGTAACTCTCACGAAATTTACTAGAATATTTTCCATGAAATTTCAAAAAATTTCTAACCGTGTATAGTATAGTTTGATACGAGTGCGTAATAGTGTTTTTGCTTCCGAATGGAAAAATTGTATTCATCAAATCCACCATTTCCAATGTTTTGTATCAGGATAACTAATTTTAATCTCAGGAGTTTGAATATGCTATTTTTAGACCATGTTCGGATGAATGGATGTATATGTGCGTACATGACCGATCGTTTTTCATCGATGACTAAAAAAATTATTGTTGAAATGAATCCAGTTGTGATTTAAAATATTCTTCCCAATCTTAACAGAGTTCGATCATGAGATTAATTGCATCATCTGTTGAAAAAATGTATTTTGACTCTAATATTTAGGGAAAGATGAAAAATTTCAACGTTGGAATCAAGTTGGCTGCCAATATGGGAATAAAACGCATCTCCCCACTGATTTTAGGCGCGCGATGAGAGAATCTCTCACAACTCCCAATCGGTTCCAATAAAATAGTTTTTATAAATTTATTAGTACGTTCTGGAAAGGTTCTTCTGCCAAAACGAAGCAAGATAGTAACTTGAGGCATATAAAAATGGTTCCGTTCAATATGTGCAATTTTAAGGTATGTTTCCTACGGGTTAACATCATGAGCTACGCCTCTCAAATAATCCAGATCACAAACGATACAATGACTTACCATTTCCACCTGTCGTCGAAAATAAAAATCAACAAATCATTTCCGCAGGAATTCGAATTTGTTTTGATATTTATTCCTATTCAAATACAGGCAGGTCAATGACTCCTGTGTTTTTAAATTTACATAGAATTTGAAATATGTGTCGCTGCCCGATATGTATGTGTTGAATAAACTATGAGTTGAATAAACTATGTGTTGAATTGATGTATTGCGGCAAATAGTTCTGTCACCTTTAATCCAGTTCCTAAGAAAAGAACGAATTTTTTAACCTTTGCTTCGGATTTTTTCATCCCGCTTCGATTGAGAATTCATGGCGCAAAGTTTTCCCCCATTTCAATAGTTTGTTTTGCTTCTGAGGGCTCTTAAACAAGTTTTTATTTCACAATTTGCATATTTCTCACCTGATTATCGACAATAAACGCCACCTCACAAAGGGTCACAAGGGTCAGAGGAGTTAGAAACAGTTCCAAATAAGGCTCACAAGGGTCAGATTAAGCGTCATATGGGTCAGATTAAGGATCACAACGGTCAGATTAAGGGTCACAAGGGTCAGAGGAGTCAGAAACAGTTCCAAATGAGGCTCACAAGGGTCAGATTAAGCGTCATATGGGTCACATTAAGGATCACAATGTTCAAGGGTGGGGTGTGTATAAAGAATGGCATTGTATGGCACGTTTCCCATTCCTTGAAAATTTTTGTGAGAGAAGGTCTCATAGCGCGCCTACAATAATCCAGATCACAAACGATACAATGACTTACCATTTCCACCTGTCGTCGAAAATAAAAATCAACAAATCATTTCCGCAGGAATTCGAATTTGTTTTGATATTTATTCCTATTCAAATACAGGCAGGTCAATGACTCCTGTGTTTTTAAATTTACATAGAATTTGAAATATGTGTCGCTGCCCGATATGTATGTGTTGAATAAACTATGAGTTGAATAAACTATGTGTTGAATTGATGTATTGCGGCAAATAGTTCTGTCACCTTTAATCCAGTTCCTAAGAGAAGAACGAATTTTTTAACCTTTGCTTCGGATTTTTTCATCCCGCTTCGATTGAGAATTCATGGCGCAAAGTTTTCCCCAATTTCAGTAGTTTGTTTTGCTTCTGAGGGCTCTTAAACAAGTTTTTATTTCATAATTTGCATATTTCTCACCTGATTATCGACAATAAACGCCACCTCACAATGTTCAAGGGTGGGGTGTGTGTAAAGAATGGCATTGTATGGCTCGACAACGGCAGTGGACACCTGAAAGCCATATAATCCTTGAATGCACCTTTCATCATACAAGCAAAATTCACCCTGTTAAAAATTCATTCTCACCATGAGCTTTACCTTGTACCCCACCCTCCCATGAGAAGGAGAAAATAAAACAAGGGTTACCTGGGGGGCTGGATAAATGCTGAAGGTGAGTTTGCTCTTCTTGGGATATTCAACGGAGAGTCTCTCCATGAGTAAACTGGAGAATCCAGAGCCTGTCCCACCTCCGAAGGAATGGAATATGAGGAAGCCCTGGAGGCCACGACATTGCTCCGCTAGTCTACGGATTCGATCCAGGGTTAGGTCAACTATTTCCTTTCCTATTGTGTAATGACCCCGGGCGTAATTGTTTGCCGCGTCTTCTTTTCCGGTTATTAGCTGCTCAGGGTGAAATAGCTGTCTGTATGTTCCTGTTCTCACTTCGTCTAAAGATAGAGTGAAAAAAATTCAATCAAGGATATCGTTTTTGAGGTCAATTTTTCTATTTCAATGATATTTTTCATTCAATTTTTCATTTAATTTGATTTTTCAAATCATTTTTGTAGATTCTTTCCGTTTTTCGTACCAAAAAATAGGAGAATTATAATTCAGACTTCAAGTTAAGGATATCCAAGGATCTTTTACAATTTGGTACAACCATTTTTAGTCATCAAATTTGTTAATTAACTTGCGCGAGAAAAATTCGAAGAGAAAATCATGAATATTCAGCGAATTCAAATTACATTTTGCACAGAATTTTTTTTTAACGATTTATAATAATTGTTTATAAATAAAAAATTTAAATTGTTTAAATGTTTGGAAAGCTTTTTTTTGAGGCATGAACTCGAGTTCTGGTAAAATTCTGAATACGAATAAATTTGTTACGATTCTAAACAAATGATTTTTACGGTGGAAAATTGGTTGTTTATAAATGATTTTTAGAAAATGCTCATAATTGTTGAAAATTGCAATTTTGTTAATTATTTTATCAATCTTCCTCCAAAAGTAAATTTTTTCATTTTTTTTTTTTAATGTTTTCTATCCTCACTTCCAAGGCCTCTTAATGACAAGGAATTAAAAAAAAAAATTAGAGACCGATTGGTTACGAGTCTCAATTTTGTGTGTTACTTTCTATAAAAAACCCTATAGTGAATTCTATAGGAAATCCTATAGGAAATCCCACCAGAAAAATCCTATAGGAAATATTCGAATTCTCCATAGGATTTTTTCGTACGTGATATGAAGGAATTATCATTTGTGTAAATTTATACAAAATCATTGTATTCGTACAGCAGAATAAACCGTAAGGTTTAAATGCTTACAATAAAAAAAAATCGTAAAAAGGAAAAAAGCACAAGAATTTTTTTGAAATCTTGCCTACAACAGTCGGTTCCAAATCAACGAAAACAGCCCTGGGGACATGCTTCCCGGTGTCGCTCTCCGAGAAAAATGTACCGAAGGAGTCGTCTCTTCTGGTTGATGTATCGTCACTTGGCATCTGGCCATCGGGCTGAATTCCATGCTCCAGACAATACAACTCCCAGCAAGCATTGCCCATTTGCACTCCCGCCTGGCCGATGTGTATCGATATACACTCGCGCTGTTGAGGTAAACATACATCACGTCAATCAACCTGTCCAAGATTTTTTATCTTGGGCACGTAGCAATTGAATCGTGGAGGGCGAGGACTAGACCTTTTACATTCACTAGACTTCATTTTATATCGCAGTGTTCAATGATGAATTTCAGTCAATTTCAGTTGAATATGAAATTATCTTCATGATGAGATACTTTTTCGCTTTATATTATAAAAATCCAAATCGACTTCTGTGATGAAAATTTGGTACTCGAAATTAAGACTCCAAAATTAAGGGTCACAAGTGTCAAAATAATGGTCATGAGGGTCAGAATAAGGGTCATAAGGGTTAGAATAAGGATCACGAGGGTCAAAATACGGGTTATAAGGGTCAGATCAAGGGTCAGAGGAGCCAGAAACAGTTCCAAATAAGGCTCACAAGGGTCAGATTAAGGATCACAAGGGTCAGAGGAGTCAGAAACTGTTCCAAATAGGGCTCACAAGAGTCAGATTATGCGTCATATGGCTCAGATTAAGGATCACAAGAGTCAGATTAAGGGTCACAAGGGTCAGAGGAGTCAGAAACAGTTCCAAATAAGGCTCACAAGGGTCAGATTAAGCGTCATATGGCTCAGATTAAGGATCACAACGGTCAAATTAAGGGTCACAAGGGTCAGAGGAGTCAGAAACAGTTCCAAATGAGGCTCACAAGGGTCAGCCTAAGGGTTCAAATAAGGGTCATGGGGGTCAGACCCTAAGGGTCACAAGGGTCAAAATGGTCTTTATATCTCCATATTATAAAAATTCAAATCGACTTCTGGTGATGAAAATTTGGTACTGGAAATTAAGACTACAAAATTCAGGGTCAGAAATGAAGGGTCAAAATGAGGTTCACGAGGATCATCAATAAATTGATGGCAAGCTTCCGAATGGGTTCATTTTTATTGTTTGATGAATTCTTATAGGATATATAAAATCGGTTTAACAGTTCTGAAGACATGCAATGAAATAAATTTATTTATTTCGCATTTTCGAGACATTCCAGTCGATTTCAGATGAGTATCAAATTATCTCCTGGCTGAGGAACTTTATAAGGAATAAAATTCAACTGGAATATGTGTGACCAAAATTTTGTGCTACGATTTCTCCTGAAAAAACAATGCGATTCAATTTTTTTTTCACTTAATCGACGTGTCTTCATGTAACTTAGAATTGATTGGATTCTGAACAACATCGCGTCAGCGGTTCTGTAGATTTTGCAGTAAAACTTGTGGAAAAAGGTCGAAAAATGTCCTTTTTTTTACAATGTTTGTGGAATTATTTTAGTCGTTCTTGGATTTTCTAAAAGTCGACCGCCAGGTGAAAAATTATAAAATCTCCGAATAGAGCAATTTCAATGCTTCCACTCGAAAACAAAAAGAAAACAAATAAAAATGATCTTTACCTTCTTCGCCATTCGCTCATTAATAAAAGCCATTCTTATACCAAATAAAAAGGAAAAGTAAATAAAAAATACAAAGATTGAAACGAAGAAAAGAACCAATTTGCAAGTGATAAAATCGACACGCTCGTGCCTTCCGTTAAGCCACAACTAATGTCCCCACGATATTCTACATGTCTCCAAGTCGCCTCCAACACCTTCACATAAAAAGTCAGTTGTATGCCTTGACCTAGCCCGAAGGCATCAATAATCCACGGCACTTCGACAAAATTGCAGAAGCATTTCTGTTTGCCATATCAGCATTGTTAACATTAGAGACAAAGGGTATAGGTTTATTCCGATCGTTTACATGCAATAGCATGGCGTGCAACTCGTATGAAATCGATTCCAAAGGTTGTCGAGCTGTAACCATAGCAGCTGGATCGTATCTGCATGGAAGATATGTATTTTTGCGGATGATGGTTATGATAAGGATGACTATTGTCATTCCGTCAATTCACTTACGACTGCTTTTCAATTTCTTGTTTAAGCGAAATGACACTTTAATCTTTCCAGTCTATAATCAGTTGAAAAATTATTGATAAGAAATAGCTTTTAAAGTCGAGAAACATTCTCTGTTTAACAATCGAAGTTCTGTATCTGACTTGTTTCGTTACGGTTCATATTACTTCACAGTTGTTATTTACTTTTCAATTTTTTCTTTACATCAAATCAAACTTCAATTTTCTAGTTTACGATCAGTCAAGGGGAGACTACTATGAGTTTTAAAAGTCGTGGGTTATTGGAGTGAGACTTTTCATACGTTGAAGATCGATTATATAGATCTGAAAACGAATAATTAGTGCAAAACAATTTTTTTTTATTGTTCGTTTGCCCGAAAACACTTAAAATGCCAAAAACAGCCTAGGGGCTCCAATTTTTGAGCTACGAATGATTTTTTTTTTCAAAATTTTCGGAAAAATGTGTGGAATAACAATTACGAGCTAGTTTTTTTTTAATTCGCCTCTTACATGGCTAAATTTGCTTTTTTTGTATTTTTTTACACAAATAGTGAATTTTGTGTTATGAAAAAAGAAACGAAATCAGCTGTGTAGGAGTCGAATTCTAAAAAACTGGCTCGTAATTGTTGTTCCACACATTTTTCCGAAAATTTTGCAAAAAAAAAAATGTTTTGTAGCTCAACAACTGGAGGCCCTGCACTGTTTTTAGCATTTTAAGCATTTTCGGGCAAACGAACAATAAACAAATTTTTTTTTGCACTAATTATTCGTATTCAGATCTATATAATCGATCTTCAACGTATGAAAAGTCTCACTCCAATAACCCACGACTCTTTAAAATCATAGTAGTCTCCCCTTAAAAAAAACTATCGATGAAATATTTATTGAAAAATTGATACAATGAGGAATTGTTTTGAAAGTCCTAGGTCTAGAAAGTGACCATTAAAGGCATTTTGAAGTGGTAAAACAGTACAAGTCAGTTTTGACTATTGACCCGTTTTCGATGAATATCTCGGAATCTAAGGGAAAAAGCCAAACTTTTGTTATAACCTTTTCTGTAGAGCCGATTGAGAGCTACAACAAATAAGATTACAAAAATTTCGCTATCTCCCTTAGATTCCGAAATATTCCTCAAAAACTCAACTGGCAGATAAGTCATGAATTTTAATAAACATTTTCAAAACATCGGAAGGTGAATAGATTTCATCAAAATAGCTACAATTGTTCTAATATAAGTTCTTTCAAAGTTTACTTCGATGAAAAACAACCTCTACCATTCCATGTCGTTCTAAAATTAATAAAAAAATTAGTAATTGCTAGTTTCGATAAATTCCATTCAACAATTGATTATTCCTCTGATATTGTTTCAGAGTTTTTATTGATAATGCGAGGGTATAGCCCTACTATACCCTTCATGAATAATCCATAGACTTATGACAGGTTCATAATAATGGGGTGACAGAGGGGATTAACGGTATAATACCTAGACGTGCTGTTATTTTCACTAGTCCGAACGTATGGAAATCACGTATCCATATGGCGTTTGTGTTTATATCTACATTATAATGATAATTATAGCTTCTTAATTATTATTTGTTTTTTGGATTGACACGTGGAGGGGAATCTAAAAAACGCGAGAGGCTATCCATGGAATAAATAATAGAAATAATATCTGCAGTTACATTTCTATCATTCAGAAAAAGGTATTGACAAGGAAAAGAAATCATGAAAAATTACTGTACAATCTGAACCGACGGCCGTGGTCGCGTGTAGCTGCGTGGTTAGAGTGTGAGATTGGCTTCTAAAGTCTGCAAATAATTCAAAATTGCTAATGATTTAATTAAATCCGATTCTCAAATTAGGAATCAAAAGAGAAATGACAAAATGTAAACGATAAGCTCCAAAATTAATCCAGAATACACATTTGTAGAATCAGTTTTTTCCAATAAATTAAACAATCATTCACGCAATTTATTAAGGATGTTCGACACCCTTTTAGCCAAAATTGACGTTGTTTTCATTTTTCTGGCAAATTATCGATGGGAGTGACGTGAAAAAATATAAGGATTTTGTGGTTTGTCATTCTTTAATGGCTCACGAAGTTGCGTAGTGGTGCGATAATTTTCATGCGTTTTTTCTACAGTTTTGTGATTCTTTTTAAAAGTTTAGAGAAAACGCAGGAAAATGTTCGCACCACCTTAAAATTTCATCAGTCATTGAATAATGACAAAACGCAAAAACGTTATATTTTTTCACGTCAATTCCATCATAAGTTTGCCAGAAAAATTTAAAAAACATGAATTTTGGCAGAAAGGGTGTAGAACATCCTTAAGAACATCATACAATATTGAAAATAATAATGAAAATAATGAACACTTTGGAGAAAAGAAAAGAATTCCCAGTTGGGCATCTGGTCTGCACCAAAATATTATCACTGGAATTACAAATAATTTTGAAAAACTTTTTGATCAGGTAGGTATTAATGCAAGAAATATTTCGTTACTTATGAACCACGTTGATTTGATCGAGATTAATTAAACTCTGTGTAAAAATCAGTTACAGAAATTATCAATTTTCTGTTAGTGGTCCGTTTTGCCCTAGGGGTCCGTTTCGCCCCACCCTCCCCTATATAGCGTAAATATTGAAGTGTTTTTGAATAAAAACTTGGTTTTAAAAAAAAGTGTGAGATTGGCATGCGGGGTCCTGTGTTCGTTTCCCGGCTGTCACCAAATTTTCTGACACTCTCAATCACACGGTTTCATTGTCGAGCGGGAGTCTCGTAAACGAGATGACTGTACCTGAGTAGGTTTTTTCCTTCAAGTGAGGTTTTCACAGGTACAGGAGAAATCATATAAATCCGAGAGGATATACGAAAGAGAACAAATTCAAAATCAAAATTTTACAGTGCAATCTAGGCAATCGGCGAGCGAAATTATATTTTAGGAGATTTAATTGAAATGAAGGAGAAAAATGGGAAGTAGAAAAGGAATTTTGTCCTTCGCACCGTCGTTTTTACTAACAAACGGTAAAATTTCATTTTCAAGAAATTCCATTCAATTATTGATTACTCCGTGATATTGTCTCAAAGTTTTCATGGATAATGTAAGGGTATAGCCCTACCATACCCTTCATGATTTAACTACAGACTTATGATAGGTTCATAATAATGGGGTGACAGAACACATTAACGGTATACTACCTAGAGGTGCAGTTGTCACTAGAATATACATGTAATAAATAACAGGAATAATTCTGGCCTTTAATTAAAAAAATGTATTGAAAAAGGACAAAAAATCATGAAAAATTACCGTACAATCTAGGCAATCGACGAGGGAAACTATATTTTAGGAGATTTAATTGAAATGAAAGAGAGAAATGAGAAATAGAGAAGAAATTCTGTCCTTTGCAACGCAATTTTTCACAAACGAACAGTAAAAATTGAGATCTATTAGTGAAAAGGCCAAGAAGAACTGTTTAAATATTCAATTTCTCGTGCAATTTTTTGTTGATTTTTATCTCCGTCAAAGGAAGGGACTCACCATGTTTCGAAAATGAAAATCTCTCTCAACCAATTGGAATATCCGACTCCAGGTGTGCACGGACTAGCCGTCTGACCAGTTCCACGTCCAGATCACTACACTACCTGGCGTATTAATCGAGTGATGCCACTGGGATACCTAGCACGAACCTCTCGAGCACTATAGTGCACATGGATTCGTGTAGATTAGCATATCTTCTATCTGTTTTGCCTGCAGTGCACTGTACTTTTAATGACATACATATTCGTGCTAGGTGATGGATGCAAACAATGGGGGAAGGTCATTGGCACTTTTGTAAACAGTGGCATTGATTCTTGGGGCATTGTTTATTCATTTCATGATTCGAGGTTTTGGTTACGTTCACTGTTGAAAAATTTTGACTGGAATTTCCTGTACTTTTCCTACAAACTTTCATCAGATGATAGTTCCACTGAAATTTTGTAATTGAAGATTCAAAATTTTATGGCAAAAGCAATGGGAACTGGGAATTTCGGTTCAATCATTTCATGGAAATTAATAGAAATTCCGAAAATTCGGGTGAATATATACTGTTAGAAAAAAAATTAAAATTTCATGAACAGTTTTTTTTAACGTCGCCTTACTTATACCTACTTTATGTAAGTTTTTCAGCGAGGGGGGTTTTTGATGGTTTTTCAACAGGGTGCGTGCCCTGAGCAGAGGTGCTCGTATCAATCCGTAAGAATTGATACCATCGTTCCTCCCAACCTATCACTGCGTCTGTGGCCGACTTTGTGCGCTGTACCGTATTCACTCCTCGTCACTGAAGAGACATGAAAAACCACAGAAACCCATGTGGGTACAGTCGGTTACTCCATTAGCAACCTCCCGCTCCCCCAGAGCCAAGATAGGCCGAGCCGTGATAAGCAGAACCCGGCCCAGGTAGGCCCTTAGCCCTTCACAGAAGTTAAGGGCCCTTCCCAGCTGAGATTCGATCCCCAGCCACTCAGTGGAATCCCCAACCCCTGTGATCAGAAGTTAAAAATTCCACACCGGCTGGGATTCGAACCCACGACCGTCTACCCAGGTACAGGTAGGAATTGACGATAGAAACAGGACTCATCAAGTCCTGGAGCAAGGATTGGAAATGCTCAACCAGGGCTGGAGCTCAGCCTTGGATCGGCCCTCCTTCAGCTCCAAAATGATAACCTCGTTTTAGACTTAGTCCATAAGGCTTGAACAATGCTTGGCGCCAAGGCTTGGTCCAAGACTTGAATTACAAAATTTTAAAGGCTCAATCGCACTTCTTTCAAATAAATCATACTAATGTTTACGAATATGTGTTCAAATAATTTCTTATTGCTTCGTAACCCCTTTTATGAAGCCAGAGCAACTTATGAAAAAGACTGACGGGACTATGTACAGTTCCTCGTGTAAAAAAAATGTTTTATTTCTGCATTTCTGAAGCAAGTGAGAGTCTCAGTGGCATTAGGCGGGCCAGAAAATACAGAATCGACTTTCACTCGGCGGAAAAATTCGATTTTGGCGACAGTCGACTTTCCCCCCGAAAAAAGCCCAACTATGGCACTTTGGCTCCGGGTGAAAATAAATTTTTTTTTATTTCTGCATTTCTGGGGCAAGTGAGAGGCGCAGTGGCATTAGGCGGGCCAGAAAATACAGAATCAACTTTCACTCGGCGGAAAAATTCGATTTTGGCGAAAGTCGACTTTCCCCCCGAAAAAAGCCTAAATATGGCACTATGGTTCCGGGTGGAAAAAAAAATTTTTTGATTTCTGCATTTCTGGGGCAAGTGAGGGGCGCAGTGGCATTAGGCGGGCCAGAAAATACAGAATCAACGTCCACTCGGCGGACAAATTCGGTTTTGCCGACAGTCTACTTTCCCCTGAAAAATCCAAGATGACACTTTGGCCCCAGATGAAAAAAAAAATTGTTTATTTCGACATTTCTGGCGTCTCCGAGTGTTTTATTAGCATGAGAAACGTTAATCGATTAGAAAAATTAAGGAATATAATCGAAACTACCTTTCATTTTTGGGGCCGTGCATAGGCTCAAATAAGCCTTGACTTACTGAGCCTCAATACTCAAAGCCTAGGCTAGGCCTGAACTGAACCTCGGCAATGGCCCTTTGAATCGCCCTCATTTCAGGCTCGAGTAAACGATGAAATCAAGCCCGTCCCAGGCCTGAGTCACTGACCCTCACCAAACCTAGGCTCGCCCAGGCTTGTTTCCATCGTCAGCCTATATAATTCCTACCTGGGTAGTCGTCAGGCCAAACTAACGATTTAATGACCGCGACCACTGGACGTCGGTTTATTAACAGTTGATTACTCATTTTCAGAACAGTGACACTGAATGCGATTTAGGGAAAACAAGTGGGATATTGCTTTCAATTTTTATCAATTATTGTACCTGTTTTTGCTAATAAATTAGCAATATGCTTACGAATGGATATAAGATCCCCATGATATCCCCATAAAACCCCTATAAGACCTCCATAATATCCATAAGACCCCCATAAGACGCTCGTGAGACCCGCATAGGATAAAACAATATTAGTCCAAGGTTGACGCAAGCTTAGTGCAACGTTGTCGCAATATTGGCACAAGGTTAATTCAAGGTATGCGCAAGGTTGGCCGAAGGTTGGTCCAAGGTTGGTTCGATGTTGACGTATGGTTTTTTGGCTATAATTCGAAAACTGATAATGGCATCGAGACCATGTTCGAACTCGGTCTAGATAACGTGAATACGAATATTTATACCGCAAATTCAATTGATTTGGATAATTATTTTTTAATGACCGTGGCAAGACTGAATCAGTCACACGCATATACACATACACACACATACATACATACGGACGTGCTCCAAAAACATCATATTCTGATTCCTGAGACCAGAATTAGTTTTGAGAAATACAATGCTTCTATTCGGAAACAAAAATTATAACATTTCAGGTTTCACTGAAAGTTCAGTAAAATTCCAGAATTTAAAGCAGTATAAAGACGAGAATTTCTTAATTTATTTGAATTGCCAATTTAATGTGAATATGCCAAATTACATTGAATTTTCAGTGAAATCTGAAATTTCATAATTTTTTCCCCCTAAATCGCATACAGTTTCACTGTCCTGAAAATTCTAGAATATATTTGCCAGCATTTTCTGGTTTTCTATTTATTTTCAGAAAAAAATGGAACTGAAATTGACCGTTCTCTTTGATTTTTCTACGAAATTCTGAATTTTCAAAGACGAAATTCCTTGAAATTTCAGTCGGAATTAAATTCGATAAAAGTTTCTAACAGTGTATACTTGAATTCCCAATCAATCCAAAATTCCGAGGAAAATTCAGAGCATTTATGTAATGAGTATTCTGGTTTTGATTGAAAATTCATGTGAGTTGAGGAATTCTTGTCTACCTGCTGTTTACAAATTTAGCATTCTATCGAATTGTTTATGAAATCACAAATTTCATCATCCCCTTCCCCTCCCCCGCCAAATTCGAATTCAATGTTACTCTCCCGAAAATTACCAGTGAAATGTCCATGAAATTTGAAATTGTTTCATCACAATGTTGTTGAAACCCCATTATCATTTTATTCCTAACGCCTCATTGGATTCTATCGCCAGTAAATTGTTCACATGATGTATACGAACAAACGCCACTATTTTTTTTCAAGTCTGTTTAATTTTTGCCGATTTCCTGTCAGAATTTCGCATTTTTTCTGAAAAAAATAGAAGAAAATAACAATAGAAAGTCTTCGAGTTTTGTTATATTTTCAAACAACTTATTCTATCGAAAAATTGTTCGACAAATATATTTTGCATTGTCATAGATTTCTGTGAAAAAATTGCAGGAAAATAAATTACATAGGAAAATGAAAATCTATTATTTTTCACAATCAAATATTTTTCATTGAACCATAACGTGAAATGTGGAGGAGTCATCTATAACACTTAATAACAATTATTCCTACATGTAAGGTATTATACTTTTCTCTCTCTATTATAGCCTTGATGGCGCTGACTCATGTATTTTGCCACTTTTGTATGGGGACGGGGAAGGGAATAAAATGTAAAAACCCAGGAAATATACACGTGAAAATAAACTAAACAAATAATAATTATTTCTTCCCACTCAGAGATCCCCATCAATATTAAATTTCTGTAATATTACAAGGATTTGACCCTTACATTATTAAAGGTTTAAAATATGTTGATTAAAGTTTTCATATAATATAATATTAATAATCTGATTCTTTACGAATAATGATATATTTAAAATTCGTTAATATGAAACTGTAAATTTACTACTAAGTGAATAATTCAAATTTCTTGAAAGGGGATTTTTGATTACACAACTAATCGTCAATCTTCCTACTTCAAATTATTGATTGATAAAATAGTTGAAAATTTGAATATTTGAATTGATGATACTTAAGTACTCGAAAAATTTCAAGAGTGATATTACCTAATTAAGGGCTACAAAAGTAACCGTAATAAAATATTACAAATTTGGCTATCCCTGTTCCCACTGTAAAAATAACAAATTTCATAGAAATTATTAAAATGTTCTTGAATATTCTTTCCTCATGATCAATGGTAAAATCCATTGAAATTTGATATCTAGTGGGCCACGATCCATATCACTCTCCTACACGCCCACTGGATAGCCAGATTACTCTTAACTCTGAACAGAGGTATCTGGTGTTAGTCTCTAGCTGGCACTCAGTGACAGAGATCCTCAGGAGACTTTTTTATTTTGTAATTATCGCGAGGAATTGCGTTTTAGTATAATAGGTGAATTTGAGAGTGTCTATTGTAATGGAGCCCAGGGTCCTCCGGTTCCTGTTGCTCTTGCTCCTTGGGACAACACAGTGTTTCGCTTGGCAGAATGAGAGGTGTGTTTTCATCAATTCAAGAAAATAGTGAAATCATTGAATAGGAAAGTGATGGAAGTCTGCGAGTTTTTCGATCACTAAATTTTTTACAATCATTCAAGTGTTCAGAAAACTAGTGGCTTCCAAAGAAGCTCTTCAGCGATTAATTCATGAATTCAAAAAATCGACGAGAAAATCTTGAATTATTTTTAAAATTTAAATAAAATATTTTCCAGACCCGTTTTGGAGTCCATCGATGGGCATCTAATAATATGGAGCGCGCATGATAAAAATGTCACCATAAAAACTCGCGGGAAGGGATTTCTAACAGTGAACGATGTCAATCTTGTGGACTCTGCCCATGCGGTAATTATTAAAAAATATTATAGTATATTTCTGGAATGTGCTCTGGTGTTTTTTACTCGTGTGGAGTTCGCGTTTGAGCCGAAGGCGAGGACTTGCATCGCTCGGTTAGATCGCGGTTTTTGGGCCGAATGGCATAATAGTAAATTTCTTCATATCATGACGAAATAATATATTTCAAATGCCGTTTACGGACATTGTGAAAAACAATTATGTTCGTCACTCGGCCGAAAACAACTTTTCTGACTCGTGTCATTGCATTTTTCAGCTTCGCCTCGGTCTGCAACCTTCACACTCGTTAGAAACTTTTTTTTCGGCCTTGTGACGAAAGTAGCTATTTCGATACGAGTTCATAAAAGTGTTTTTTAACCCGTGGGACGTGTGTTCCACTCGCGTTCGGCGAGCGTTACCCTCCCAAGGGTCAAAAAACACTTTTCCCGTGAGTGTCGAACCCTATTTTTCATCACAATGTGCGTATGGAATGTGGGATTTTGCGCACGCGTGCGTAAAATTTTACTTTACGCACAAGTAATGAAATTTCAATTTTACAGTGTCGATTATTAATGAGAAATTCTGCGAGAAAAAATTCTGTGTTATCATAATTCTTTGTTATAAACATTGATGGTTCATAAATTACTAATAATCACATGTCGTCAAAAAAATTTTCGTCCATAATCAACATCTAGAAATTTTCATATTTTCTCAATAATAAATAACAGGTGACTTTGTGACTTTATCTGCGATTTGTTTCGGTTATAGGCGGCTCATGCAGCTAGATATGTTGAAAATTGGAAGAGTGGACCATGGCTAGACTTACAAACACGAGTAGATAGACTGGCCCACACTGTTGAGGGTCCTGACGGACTGATAAGGAGATTGGAGTCAGGATCGTGGAGAAATACTGGTGGAAACGCATCGAGTTCACGTCCCGCTGAACATGGGGTATTTTTCAAATCTCAGTGATGCATTAAATTCCATAATTATACAATAATTCTGAAAAAAATCTATTTCAGGATTGGGAATTGAGTCTAACTACGCGGGTAAGTGAAATAGATGATTTTGCTTCTCAATTATTACAAATAACCTGACAAAATCACTTATTTTTCTTTAAGGTTGAAAACTTAGAGGATACAGTTAAGAAACTGCGGAAGAAATTGCGGACGAACAAATGTTCCAGCAACCCTTGTCTGAATGGAGGGACGTGTATCAGGGTTTACGATGGATATCAGTGTCTTTGCCCGTCAAATTGGCAGGTTTGTCTTATTCTTTCTTCTTTTTGGGTTTTAAGTCACTTTCGACATCATGCCCTTCCTGTGTATGAAACTGTGGCTTCTACGCCGCACCACACTTGCCTTTTAAATTCGAGTGAAATGGGGGAACTACAGAAGTTATGTCGATACAAGCGTTCTCTCTATGAGTAACCTCCCATTCGTCAAAGACTCGAGTATAGAAAATTGTACCCCGGTCGGTATTGAACTTGGAACTTTTAGCAACATCGACTTTACCGTCAGCCTGCACAGCTATCGACGATGGTCAATGCTACTGTTACATTTTCCTATGTATTCGACTGTAGAGTCTGCGCTGCGCCGCATTGGAAACGGCAAGTGTACGGAAACGGCATCATTAGGTACAGTTTCGTAACGTAAAAATGACGTGACTTCCGGGCGACTAATTCAAATGCTACGTTGGGAACGAAAGAGAAGATGAATCTGGGCCTCCCTACTGGCAGTAATCACATGCAAAACAGCTCGCGATAATTAGTGTTTATTATGAATCACTTTGCATAGGTGTATCAGTATTATATTGCAATATTTGATTGCACTTTACTTGTGAATCCTTTTGAAATCTACGCGCCAATGTGAAAGAAGTAGACTCTTTTGACGTCACATTCGAGAAACCCCTCCCATAGTATTTTTTATGGGAATCCTTCTTCCTGGTACTTTTTATTCAATGTCGTACATCAACAAATTATATGATATGTAGGTTTAATCATAATTATATGATGTATAGATGTCAGAGGTGCACATTCATCGGATTATAATATTTTTGTGCTTAGACGTACGCACAAAGGAGAATCATATATTTTTTCTATTTATATTGTTTGTAAAATAATGGAATCAATGTCAGGAAAAAAAATAATAAACTCCAAAGTGCTCACTGTATGAGAGATGAACGCAAATGAATGTAAAAATTCAACATGTTTCGACATTAACTGCATATGTATGAGTATTTTTAAATTTTTGATGCAACACAATTCTTTGATTTTTAAATTCAATCTCTTCAGGGTTCCTCTTGTGGACTCGACGTCAACGAGTGCGCAATCTACGCAGGAACCGATTTAGGATGTCAGAATGGAGCAACTTGTGTCAATACACTTGGTTCTTACAGGTGAATTGATTTTCTATTTTGTACAGCCCAAAAATTCCAGAAAAATTACTGTGCCAGTACGATAAAATGGGTTCGTTTGGACGGCCCCGGAAAAATCATCGTGCCCGCACCGGAAAATTTGCTGTGGAATACAAGAATTTTTCACGGTAAATCCGAAAACAATTCCTGTAGCGCACGGCAATTTTTTCGGGTCCGTCGAAATGAACCCATTTTACCGCACAGTAATTTTTCTGGAATTTTTTTCTCCGTGCACACGGTCACAAAAAAATGTAAGAAAACTTTCTCTAAAGCACAGTAAAACCGGTCTTATTTCGATGGGAATTTTACATGTCAGTACCGGAAATTTGGGTGCGAAATGCAGGAATTTTGAAAGTTCAAAATAAACCTTTTTTACTGTGCTAGCTCAATAATGTTTCCTGCATTTCTTTCTCCGTATAGTATCTTCGATAAGTATTCGAGATGACCATTGTCGAAAAGTATCATTAACTCTCCTATTCCTTTAGCTGTTCATGTGCAAAAGGATGGTTCGGTGTTCACTGCGCTTCCAGAACATCCGCCTGCAGTTCAGCAGACTCGCGAGAGCTGTGCGGTAACGGTGTGTGCGTCGATCAGAAAGGAACACCTCTTGGCTACACTTGCCTTTGTGATCAGGTACGCTCCCTTATAAATTCCAGTACATTATAAAATAGTATATTGTGGTACTAGTGTGTAAACTTTCACTTTTCACACACTGAGAAAAAAATTTTCTAATATCTGAAACATATTTTCTTGAGACAAGTAAATTTTCTTCAATTGCTTAATTCTCTCAGGCATTTCAACTCACATGACCCGAGAAAGGCCTCATGCCTTAAAATATTCTTGTACTCAAGTAGGATTTTGTCGCAAATGAACTTACTTAAATCGCGTAGAAGAACGGTCAATCTTCTAATCTTTATTGTTTTCATGATTTTTTCATTATGCACTTCCAATATTGCAATATGTAAAATATTCATGACGTAACGCGGAACGATAGTGATGAATGAAAATTTATTTGAGTTCTGTGAAGTGCACACATTCTGAGATTTAAGCCATTGAAAATAATTTACTTCTCTCAAGAAAATATGTTTCAGATATTAGAATTTTTTTTTCTCAGTGGATTCACCTGTAGAATCTTATTTTTTGTAACGTTTGTCATGTTCACTTTTCGGGGATGCAGTAAGAGTTTGGTTTTTTCGGGGGGTACGCAAAACTTTACGCACGAGAATTCACTTTGCGCACGACCTCTGAATTTTACACACGCAATGCGGATTTAAACACTTTACGCCCGCTCAACCGTTCCGAAAAGTGAACTTCTCAGGCAGGCATTACGAAATAACTGTTTTCGTCATAAGGCCAAAAAAACCTAAAGTCTTCTACACTCCTTCAGGTTTATTGATTGTTAATTAATAAATTTTGGTTTAAAGATATAAATACGATTAAAATCACTCTATTGAAATAACAACCAATAAACCTTAAGAAGTGTAGAAGCTTTTAAATTTAAATGGATAAACAATTGTAAGGAAAAAAATTTACGGGAAACGAATGAAAACTCATTTTCATTCTTTGTTTGTATCATCGTTTTTCGGAAACTTAGAATATTTAATTCTCAATCAGCATTCCCGGCTGATGTCTTTGGATATAACATATGGACATTGGTTTGGATATAACACAGAAAAGTTGTTTTTGGCCAAGTGACGAGCATAATTCAGTAGCGAAGTGGTAAAGCAGTTCAAGTCAATTTTGACTATTGGCAGTTTGCAATGAATATCTCCGAATCTAAGGGAGATGGTAAAATTTTTGTTAAATACTTTTTTGTTGAGCCAATTGAGAGTTACAACAAATGTAATTACGAAAATTTCGCTATCTCCCTTAGATTCGGAAATATTCCTCAAGAACTCAACTGGGAGATAAATCGACTTAAACCGTTTTACCACTTCGCTACTGAATTGTTCTTCACAATGTCCGTAAACCGACACATAGTAATGAAAATAGTATATTTCGATAGGAGTGCGTCAAAGAATTTTGACTTGGATACGTCTATGGTTTCAATATCGGGGGTCATTTTGGGAAACGGTGCCTATGTGCCGCGCCATCTGTCGGAATTCTAGAAAATTCTAGACATTTCTTGGTAATTCGAGAAGTTTCTTGAAATTTCGAAAAAATTCAAGGAGTTTCTAGAAAATTCGAGAGAGTACATATATCAGTATAAATAGAAATTACAAATGATTGAAATTACCTCGAGTTGTAATTCCGTAAATTTTATGAAATGAATGCATTATCCCATGCAATCTAGCTGGCGCGCGAGAAGCGCGCGTCCTTCCTCGTCTAGAAAATTCGCGAAAGAAGGAAAGGCCATGGACGTAGCCACGTACAATTACTGCTGTATCGAAGATACAGCCGCACGCAATTTTTTGACTCGTGGAAGGTGTGTAGCGCTCGCCGAAGGCGAGTGCAAAGGATTAAAGAACCCTTTTCCCACGAGTGTCGAACCTTATTTTTCATCTCAATGTGTGGAAAGTGAACTTTATGCACAAGTGATGGAAAAAACAACGGCTGTGCATCAAAACATAATATGAATAAAAACAATGACTATGCTTTGATACAGGGTTGGAAAGCGGAGGGCACAAATCCGGCCTGCATAGTCGATGTGGACGAGTGCGCCGGGAAGCACCCTGTCTGCTCTGTGGACCCTGAAGTTGAATGTATTAATCTGAGAGGGAGCTTCCACTGCGGCAATTGCCCACCTGGATTCTCCGGCAATGGATACTTTTGCCGGGACATCGATGAGTGTCTCGTTGATAATGGCGGATGTAGCACAATGCCGAAAGTTCATTGCAGAAATGTGCCGGTAATGACATTTATCATGATAAATGGGCGGTCAATCGTCAAAGTATTCAATTGTCCAACCAGGGACATTCACCCAACCAGGGGTAACGCGTTAGGTTGCTACTCTGTAGGTTGCAGGTTGTAGGTTTGAACCCGTCTCCGATAGAAGAATTTAATTTTAGCTAATAGGTTTTTCAGATAGGGCTATGATAGCAATAAGCAGAAAATCATCATTCAAACTTATAAACTGAGAATTAACAATTTTCAAAAATTACATGGGAATATTGCATGTATGTTGCCTAGAAATTATCATATATGATCAACATCCGTGCGATAGACCTAATATAAATGCGAATTTAATATTCGTATATATATATATCGCATATATATTGCATACACCATTGCATAATAGCAGTATACTTAACCCTCGTGAACTGGCGTTCAGTGCCCACCCGAGTCCACTGGCGCGGTGAGCAACGCACCGCCCGTATTATGGTTAGCGCGGTGTTGCCACATTGAAGCCCCATATGTGAATAGAAATCTACACTGCACACATTTTTCTCGAATTAAACACCATTTAGACTCGAAAAAAAAAATTGCGTTTTTTACGAGACGCCAAACACGGCACGTGATAGAGATGTTCCTAGTATGTCTGAACTGAAATGAACGACGTGGCAACAGCGCCGCTAAAAACCGACTACACGAGTCCACTGGCTCCGGGCGGCGAGGCGCCGCTTTTCCGTACCAGTCTCACTAAATTATTATTATTCATGGTATTCATGAGGTTTTCAAGGGATAGGAATCTTACCAGTCCATTCTAGAGGGTTTGAGCTAGGCTTTGTAATTTTTACAAATTTTTTCATACAAAATTTTGCAGACAGCAAGAAAAAATCGAGAAAAGGCGGCGCTTTGCTCATTGAGCCAGTTCAGAAGGGTTAATCCATATATTTTTTATGTATAGAAATCGGCGAAAAATGCTGCATAGCACGTATATGATGAATATATGTGTCATATATGCATTATAGATTTATTTATATATGTTCCATATATATAATTTTCCGTGCGGGTGATTCTCTTTGGAAGAGGTGATAAAAATTACCGCCAGACGGACACGGTGTGGAGTTTCGAACTCTTTTTCAATAAAATTAATATGAAAAATATCGATGAAAGGAGAATGAAGGTATAAGTCGACTTATTCCGATATGAAAAAATTTTCGAGCGAAATAAGTCGACTTAACTCGCAGGATCATAGTTGAGAATGAAATTCAACACTTACTCCGTTTTTCACTCGAATAAAAATATAGTTAATTTTTTTTTCCTCAAAACGTTTATAGGGGATATGTAATACAATATATAGAATCGTCTTCCATCAATAATTCATTTTCGGGAAAAAACCGACTTATTATCTTTTACCGCTTCGGTACTGAATGCTCATAATTGAAACTTAATGAGAATTGCCTAGGAACGCCTTGACTGAAGAAATACGTTATTGAAAAAATAAATGCTTCTCAAGTAAATGGATATTTGGCAAAAATAATTTTTCTTCTAAGTGTAATCATGAAGTGACAGTAGATAGATACGCCACCACTGGACCAGAGCATCCGCAAAGTTCTCACATTGCTTTCCCAATTTTCTTTTCAGGGATCGCGAATTTGTGGTCCATGTCCTCCAGGATACTCGGGCAACGGCGAAACATGCACTTACATTGGCACATGTAGAATCAACAATGGAGGCTGTCACCCGCTGGCAGCCTGCGTAGAAACTACGAATTCCGTTGTACAGTGTCGCTGTCCAGCGGGTTACGCAGGAGACGGGATAGGTCCCAACGGTTGCGCCACATCAACCATTTCTACCAACCCCTGCGCGGGGAATCCCTGCATTCACGGGACCTGCGTTCCTCATGGGCACAGCATGATCTGCCACTGCGAACCAGGATTTTCCGGTGCCCTTTGTAATGTTGCGGTGAATCCTTGTCTCCCCAATCCCTGCAAAAACAATGGCATTTGCTCTAGGGCTTTTGATAATACTTTTACTTGTGAGTGCACAGCGGCCTATAAGGGACCTAGGTGTGAAACCGCCAAGAGCAACTGTGGTGGATACATCAGAGACCTTGCTGGAACCTTGTCGTATCCTCCTGATGGTGGACGTGATCCTAATGTGAAATCATGCGCTTTCATTTTTTCGACCAATCACAGTCTGGTCTTGAATGTCACTTTCACGAGATTTAAGTTGGGAAGCACACCGGCATGTCGCGTTAATTTCCTACAGGTAAGTTCACCAAAAATTAATAGAGAAAGTCTTTCGAATGCAATTGTATTCCATTGGGAAAATTTACGATTGTTTTACGTAATCGGAAATGTGTACAAAAACCTATTTTCGTTTTTTACATTTTTACTCCGGATGGAAGTTTGAAATCATTCACATTTAAGTTTCGGATTTTTTATATTATAAAGACCCGTTATCATCCAAAAAGTACGAAAATGCAATGTTTGATCCGTGTCCGTACGTGTATGTATAATAGAATTTGCAAAATTTTTGTATTTTTTGAAAATCGGAATTCCGGTGATACTTTGAGATATCAAGCTTCAAGGCAATTCAATTATAGCTTACAATGTTCGTGTCAATGCCACACTTTCAAAGTTAAACAATAATTGAGCAGATCCATGCGAAATCAGCAGGACAAACACGTCGGTGGGGATTTTTGTCTCAATTTTTTTCTGGAAAGATGGCGATTATACAAAAACTTTGAAAGAAAGAAAAACTGAAAAATATTGATTTGGGTATGGATTTGGCCAATTTGGAGGAAAATTTTTTTTTGTGGACAAAAACAAATTTCAAAAAATCATCAACTCCGTCAATTATCCATATGTTTCACTTGTTCCTTTTTCAAAATTTTTGTCTAATCGCCATCTTTTCAGAAAAAAACAGACGAAAATACCCAGCATCGACTTTTTTATCCCGCTAATTTGGCGTGCATCTGCTCAATTACGATCGCTACATCAGTTGATTTTATTTTCATGATAATTTTGGCAAATTTCCAATTTTCCATTATACATTAATAATAATCGACAACACCTGTTTGAACGTGGCCTACGCACGCAACAAACCTTTGCAATGTGGCGTCAATAAAAGAGCCAATTTCAATAACTAGAAAACTGTTGAACGGAAATAGAAACACTCAAACGGAAACAGGAAACATAAATCCTGATGTAAATGCTACGTAGTTAGAACAAGAATATCAGCCCGTGAAACAACAAAGGGATGACAGGAGTGATAGGAATATCCTCCAGCGAAGGAACAGAAGAAAAAAATCCATTCCCGTCCTCTTGTTACAGCTCCACGACGGCGTAAGCACAGCGGACCACTTCATCGGTAGATTCTGTGGCGATAAACTCCCCCGCGACGGGAACATCATCTCGACCCACAACAGCCTGTACATGTGGCTGAACGTCCACGGTACAGAGGCAAACGAGGGCTTCACCCTCCACTGGAACAGTATACCCCCGGTGTGCGGTGGTTACCTAACATCAGATTTCGGAACAATCAGTTCCCCAGGTACTCCAGGAAAATACCCCCTGAACAGAAACTGCTCTTGGGAGATCGTCGTGACTCCAGGGCGTAGAATCCAGTTCCATTTCTTCACCCTCCAGATCGAGGAACACCCAGCATGCGGCAAGGATTATCTACAGATCAACGAAACAATAGGAGATCGGGAGATTCAGTTGCAGCGCTACTGCGGTCACACACAACCGGTTCCTCTCCTGACTTCCGGATCGACAGCGATCTTGTACTTCCACTCGGACGGTGACACCCAAGACCAGGGCTTCCAACTCAGCTACAGCACCGTCGAGGGTTCCCCCGGTTGCGGTGGTGTTCACACGGCCCCTCAGGGCACCATCTCCTCCCCAACAGTGCAGGGAGCCTACGAGTCCGGACTCTATTGCACATGGAAGATCCAGCTGCCAGAAGGCGAGAGGATCCGCCTGACCTGGCAGGAGCTCGACGTAGAGGACCACAGATATTGCTACTACGACTTCGTTAAAATCTACGAAGGTCCCGATGAAGAATCCCCGGAAGTCGGAACCTACTGTGGAACAGATCTACCCGCTCCTAGGACCCTGAACACCAGCGTAGCGATAGTAGTCTTCAGCACCGATAACAGCTTCCACGGAAAGGGTTTCAGCATCAAATACGACACCCACTGCGGCGGAGAGTTCCACGAGTCTTCCGGAGTTTTGACATCCCCTTACTATCCGATGAAGTATCCCGGTGAAAAAACCTGTCATTACGAAATCATACAGCCCGCGGAGAAGAGTATTATCCTTCAAATCATCGACCTGGATATAGAGGGACACTGGCACAGTGGCTGTTACTTCGATCACTTGGACATCTACGACGGGGACAATGAGAACTCCACGAAGCTCGCGGAACTCTGCGGGGGAGAGGAGAAGATCCCTGAAGATCCGTTCTACTCATCCTACAATGTCATGTACATTCAGTTCCAAACTGACAGCAGTTACTCATACCGCGGGTTCAAGGCGAACTATTCTACCATCGACAGAAGGTGCGGAGGTCTCCTGAAGACCAGTCCTGGGAGTATTGTGAGCCCCGGGGCGGGTGAGGGATATTCTAACGAGGAAGAATGTTCCTGGACTATCCAGGCACCACCTGGACACGTCATTCAGCTCTCGTGGACCGCGTGGAGCTTGGAGACGCATTTCCGCTGCAGGCACGATTATGTTGAGATCAAGGAAGAGTACAACGGGGAGGACCTGTTGATCGGCAAGTATTGCGGGAAGACGAAGCCGCCTGAAGTCATCACCCTGGGCAGCATCATGAACATAGTCTTCAAGAGCGATGAGACTGTTACCTCCGAGGGTTTCGTTGGGGAGTACAGATTTGTCGACACTTCGAGGTCGTGTGGAGGCCGGTATTTCAGGTAAATATAAGTTGGCAGGGGCATATAAACATTAATAAATTCTTCGAGTAGAGGATGATGACAAAACGATTGGCGGCCAATGGTACCCTAACACCAAAGGTCCATCGATTAAATTCGAATATACGTGATCAATAATTTTTTTTTGTAGTTCCTTTTCTGGACTCTCCATCAAACATGGCCTCGTCGTGAGTCCTGGGTCACGCCAAGAGTTGGTGAGGATTGAATTCTTCACTAACTGTTGGTTTTGTGGTGACTGTGTCTCCACTATGCCTTTGTCTAGACACGAAAAATTCCCATGGAGCATTTACCCGAATTTATTCAGATTCATAAAAACGCTCCACAAACCTCATTTTCAAATCCGAGACATTTTAATCCCTCGGAAAAATCTAGAACTTTCGTCCAAGACATAAAACCATAAGCCATAAGCCTTTCATGCCCTAAACTTAATACTGAACTCAATGACCTATTTATGATCATAATCCCTCGTCCGCCTGGCTGGCGCCTGTGACGTTACGATGGACCCGAAAGGCCCCGTCGACAGCGCTGAGTCAAAAAAAGATTTAGTGGCCGCTGAACAATAAAACAAGATTTAATGCCACGAGGACAGATTATTTGAGGAACTCCTAAATTGACATTTCGTGATTATCGATATTTTCGCAGTTATCATGAACCAAATGAAACAGACTACGCTTTGCTCGTAGCGCGACTACTCGAGAGTTAAGAGGGATAACGGCCAGTTTTTTTCTACATTATCTACCTCCTAATAAACTAACCGTCCCGAGTACTTTTGAAAATATTCAAATTCTAAGGTTATGCCAATCACTGCCAAACCATTTTAACCCTAGATCGGTCACCATATGAGGGAAACCCCGCCGCACGTCCTTTTTCTTTAACAATTGACTGCCTAACCGAAAAAGTTCAAAACAATTTGACTTTGTCAAATAAAGTGTCTAAAGAATTATAGCAGATTTTAGAACAACGTATTTCCCGAAACACCTAAAGAAAACAAATTATTTCGAACAGATGAATTTCTTTCCCCATGTTAAATGAAATTGCCCGTCATGCGACGTTGCCGGAAACTTGCTAAACGCGCCCGGGCAGTGTAGAGTGAATTCGGCAACGCTAGAGCCTAAATAACACAGCGGGGAATCCCCGTGGAGTTGACCAGAACCGCAGGGTCGCGTTTGTGACCAGCCTAGGGTTAAGACGGTTTTGAATACTAGATATGGAATAAATGAAATTACCCGGCTTCCAATACTTTTCCACTTTCAGCTCCAATGGCGCCATCACGAGCCCCGCGTGGCCTCGAAGATACCCGAGTGAGAGGGAATGCATTTGGGTAATCGAAGCGCCAACCAGAATGCAAATTAGGCTGTCGATTGATTCTTTCGAGGTGGAGTCATCAGACAGCTGTCGGTACGATTACTTGGAGATAAGGAACGGCGCTCACGCAACATCTCCATTGATCGGAAAATACTGCGGGGAGACTATACCCTCAGTCATCCAGAGTTTCACGAATTATCTTTACCTGCGATTCAAATCAGACGAGTCCCTGAATACAGCGGGATTCAGAATCGAGTGGGACGCGACACAACGCGGATGCGGAGGAACATTGACCGGAAGTTCCGGGGACATCATGTCCCCGAACTACCCAGCGCCGTACGCAGCCTTCTCCTTCTGCACCTGGAACATCGCTGTTACGAGAGGAAATCATCTACAGATCATTCTCGTTGATGTGGACTTCAGAGAAGATACCACATGTTCAGGAGATTACCTAGAAATCTCGGAAGGCATCAATGGCATTGTCAAGAGCAAGGAGAAATACTGCAGATCTGATAACCAATTACCAATAGAATTGAACTCGAATGTCGCCACTGTGCATTTCCGCAGCGCTTTCGGAAACGGAGGACACGGTTTTCACATTAAATATAACACTCTTTGCCAGAATAAACTGCACGCTCACAGCGGAGTCATCGAGTCTCCCAATTTCCCTAACAGCTATCCACCCAATTCCAACTGTACTTGGATCATTGATGCACCGATAGGGAACAAGATCAACATATCGTTCTCGCATTTCGATCTTGAGCCTGGAAATCCTTACACCGAAAATCCCTGTGTTTTCGATTACCTAAACATCAAGGAAGGCTCGTATGACACACCCAGCACAGAACTCGGACATTTCTGTCCCACAGAGGGTCATACCCTTCCGCCGAAGATCGTATCAACGGAAAATCAAGTCTTCATCAATTTCCGGACTGATAGTGACTCACATTACGGTGGTTTCAGGCTCGAGTGGATCGTCAACGGATGTGGCGGACACATCAGAAAGCAGAAGGGCACTGTCACCTCCCCGGGATACCCGAAGAGGTACCCCACCAATGTTGACTGCGAGTGGATCATCGAAGTCGATTATGGATACAGTGTCCAAATCAATTTTACAGACGTCGACACCGAGAAGGAGAGTACTTGCATCATGGACAGAATCGAGGTGTTCGGAGGGGAGAACGAGGAAGCCCCGAAACTGGGAGAGTTCTGCCATTCTAAGAGCCCGATCCTCTTCGTGAGTCCCATCAACAAGATGTTCATCAAGCTGCATTCGGACTGGAGTCACGCCGGTAGAGGGTTCACTGCGGACTTCAGTCAAGTTCAATCGATGTGCGGGGGTCGTTTTAAGGCTGCTCAGGGCGCCATTCACTCGTCGAATTACCCGATGAACTATCCGGTCAACCAGAATTGCGAGTGGTTGATTGAAGTCGACAAACATCATCTTGTCAATCTCACATTCGTCGATGTCGATCTTGAGGGAAGTATCGAATGCACTATGGATTACATTAAAGTGTTCGACGGACCGACCAGAGAGCACGCGCTTCTGAAGACTTTCTGCGGAAAGCAGATTCCGTTACCCATTATCTCATCCGGTGATAGCCTTCTGGTAGTTATGAGAAGCGACCCAGCTCAGACGGCTAAGGGGTTCCGAGCGGATTTCACGCGAGCTTGCGGCGCTCGCATCGTCACAAACGGAACCGGATTCTTGACAACAGCTTCTGATCTGCATTTGCAGCATGATCTGGGTCACAACTGCAGTTGGATCATCGCGGCTGAGGATCTTGCTGATCACATCACTCTGACTATCTCTCATATGGACATGAATTGCCGATGGGGGTCGTGCGACGATAACTGCTCTAGTCATTATCTGGAAGTTTATGAGGGAGAAGGCACGGAGGGACCGCTCAAAGGGCACTGGTGCGAGTCGAAGGCTCCTCCGCCGATTGTCAGCAATGGAAATGCACTTACTGTACATCTTGTCACGTATTACTATGTCGATGTGTCATTTAGCGCAACTTATTCGGCCTTAAATTCAGGTGAGCTTGAGTTTTTTTCATCTTTAAATGACGGAATGTCAGTTGTATCGACAGGGCGATGCCCCTGAGTTCATAATTAAGCTCCCTCAGGTTATTTACGACTTTTATTTCATGTTTTATTTTATTAACACGTCAGCACTCGCGACGTTTCACCGAGAACCTTTAGTCGCACCGTGAGAAAATCTTTTACACCCCTCAACCGAGTTTGATCATTTTTTTTATAATTTATTGAAACATGCTAAATGATTTTTATTGACCCCCGAAGAAATATGGATAGTTGCTTGAGGCAATCAAAAAGTTTCAATCCAATGTGACGTGTGGAGATATTCACCTCGTCGATTTTGATTAGTTGATATTTTCTTTATGGAAAAAGTCTAAAATGCTCAATAAGCAATCTCACGATGATAACTGAGTCCAACTTCTCAGAATGAAGTTGTTTGACTGTCTTGGCCATTGTCAGTGATGACATATGCCTGTGTTAGGTATGAAAATCGTGAAAACGCTTATTTAGCATTTTCGGTTAGCAACGACTTTGAAGCTATGGAATAAGACAGAGTACGGCAGGAGCTCAAGTGGGACGGACGTCCACTCCTGACCAAAAATCTATAGTAGACACGCGTAAAAACCGAACCCATTTGATTATTGATTTTGTACTTTAACCATCGATTATCCATTCAATATACCATAAATTATCAATAGATCGATTGTGTTCGGTTATTTAACTGAGAAATACCTGTCGAAATCCTTCTCCTAGTCGCGTCGCGTTAGATCTTGAGCGAACTCCCCGTGAGCCCTGACCGTAGCTAGTGCAGCATAGTCTTCAAGTCGAAAAGCGATTTGATTAAAGGAGGACGAAAACCGCCCACGTAACACCAAAATCTCCATTTTTTTACTATGTTCCGTATGCCCTGAAAGTTTTTGCGAGAGAAAATCATACAGCGTGAGTGCTGACGGATTAAATAAAATTTCAAAACAGTAATTCGTAATAGGTTTTGTTGTTTGATAGAGATTTTCATACGATATTTTTACAAGTGGAAGATTCTATTTGTCAAGTTTGTTTCGATTGTCTCGAGGTCTTCGTTTGTTATGAAATACTTTTTGCTTATTTAGTCTTTTTAACGGTAAACATATTTTGTATGAGACATTAATTTGATTTGATCACAATTTATGTAACAAGTTGAACTGATTGAGTTTGTTTGAATGGAAGATATGATAACATTCATTTGAGTAATGGGCAGGGGAGGATTCATTTGAAAAATTGCACAAGTTGAGCCTTTGATATATCCGGGCTGAACGCTAGGGGAAGACTGTCCATTTTGGGTTTCGACGTATTGCAAGGATGACTCCTTAGGGTTGTTTTCAGCATTGAATAAAAATATAAGAAAATTCTTCGGTTTCCTCGAAAATTTGAGAAAATCCACTGATTTTACAGAAAATTAGAGAAAATTCTCCGATTTTCTAGAACATTCGGATATTTTTTGAAAAATTCAATTTATGTCAATCCATACAATTAAAAAAATCCTAAGCTGCAATCTTTACATAACAGTTAGCCTTAAGGGTGCCAAGTGAATTTGGCGATGACCTTGAAAATTGACATTCACCAACAAAGTTATAATTTTTTTAATTAATAGTATTAGACAGATGGTGAACATCGGTGACAATTTTAAAATTTTAGAACTTATGCATATCGAGAAATTTNGCGACAAAAAACAATGGGATACCGGGGTGAATAAGAGAGATATTTCAACCCGCCGTACCCATTTGATCCCATGCTTTCTCGAGGTTCGTCACGCGAAATAGAGGATTTTCCGCATTTATTTTCTCGATGTCTAGTTCCGGTTGCGGGTTTGAAATTTCGTCGGATGGATGAATACATATTTCTCCAATGATGGAGGGAAAGAAAAAATTTTTTTTGAATCTTTTTTCAAATTCACTTGGCACCCTTAAGGGGTAACGGAACCCGACCGAGGAATCGAGACGAGGAATCGCGAGAAGCAGCATAGAAAAATATAATTTCATCTTTGAGTTGAACCCGGGAAATACGCAAATGTTACAATTTGTATAAACACTGGAATTGACTGTTACAGACTCATGGAATTCGTTATAATTAACGTCTTCAAGCGATATTTTAAAACTACTGATGAATAACTTATCAATTGAGTTTTTAATACTCCGTTTCGACGGAACATTATTTGTTGATTGTCTACGTCTTCTCCAGCCTGCGGAGGTGATTACTATGCGGAATCAGGCACTCTAGCCTCTCCCGGGTACCCCGACAACTACATCATGAACGCCGAATGTGAATGGACTCTGCACACAGCCCCCGGAAACGGCATCACCTTAATCTTTTCGAAATTCAGTATTGAGCACAGTGAGAATTGCGACAGAGACTATCTGGAAATCAGGGAGCAATCGGCAATGGGAAAGATCATCGGTATTTACTGTGGCTCTCAGATAGAAACCATAGAATCCAAAGAAGCAATCTGGATGAAGTTCAGAAGTGATGGAGTCGGTACAGAGGAGGGATTCGTGGCTGAGTACACGTTTAATCATGGCTCCGAGCTTACTGGTTCCTCCGGTGTTATCGCATCTCCTCTATACCCTCATCCCTTCACCAAAAGTGAAGAGGTCACCTGGAGAGTTACCGTCCAACATGGTTTCTCGATCAAAGTCGAGTTTGATGCTTTCAATGTTGATAGCTTTGGTGAAGACTCGTGTGATTACTACGACGGCGGACTCCAGGTATGTTTCATCCTTGTTAACTAGGGGAGTTGGTGCTTATACCGATCATGCAGGTAATACCGCCCACCCGTATTTCTCAGAATTGGCGGAGAAATTTTTTTTCTTTTTTTATTATGCAACCATTTGATAACAACAAGTAATTTCAACAGCAGCGATCAGTCGACAATCATTATATTTGGAATATTTTGTAATGCTATTAGAATTTGCGCCGTTCTATGACTATGATTTTATTATGTTACTTGAAATTTGAAAATATTAAAATAATTCATAATTTAAATTTTCTATCAACTATTGAGTAAATAATTTTAAATTCCATAAAAGGATTTTTCAATAGGATATGTAATGGTCAAACTTCTGACACGATTACTGGTTGATAGATTATTTCGGAATTTGAATATTCGAGTGATGATTAATTTGGTAATTGAAAATTGTTGGGTAATACTATCAGTTAACAGAAGCTAAATTTAATTTATTTTGAAATTGATGATTGTTCCGATTCCTGTTCAACAGAAAGTTTCAATTTTCTATCGTGGAAACATCGTTTAAAAAAATCCAAATCATTTCCTACCGAATTCTTAAAATATTTCGACCCCAGAATTTAAGATTTTTCAAATTTCCAGTTGGTCCTTAATTGAATGGAGTGCGAAATGTATGTTCGTTATACACTTCCACATCCATTGCAACCTTTTCGATAGCAGAAAAATATCTTTATCAGTTATGATTGGCTATTTTATCAGCCTCCGCGTTTGTGGCTAATTCCGCCCAGAGTTTTTCCCTAATGCCGCTCAGGATTTCTATAGGGCTGCGTAGTCCCGTGAATACAGTTCAGAATTGAAGTTTGAATGGACCCTGCTTTTACTATTAAATTGTTGGCCTTTCACAGTGATTAACGGGAATGGGCCATATAAGGCCTGAAATTGTGAAGTATTTCTGGTACCAGGTGACAAGGTTTTAAAATATTATTACCCTCAAACTTCGACTCCATCGCTCTGGAGTCCATCGCCCTGGGTCATCGCTCACTGGGCGATGGCAATCGAATTACATAATTAAATATGTTTAATGTTAATAAAAAATCTATCCTCTTCACATATTCGAGTAAACACCTCGAAAAGCCCATTCTAACCGTTTATGAATTCTTGTAGAGTGCGAGGCTGGAAAAAAAGACTCATTTTCCTTAGGTGGTCGGTACATGCACCAGCTCCCCTACTCATAATTTTTTACGGGATTGATTTCACGATCTGTTTATTGTCTAGATTTTCGATGGCTACGATCGTGACGCACAACGCCTCCATAACTTCTGTGGAGCCATCCTTCCTGAACCTTTTCAAACTACTAGCAATGTTATGTTCATTGCTTTCCAAGGGGATAGAAGAAGATTGGGAAATTGGTTCAAACTTCGTTATTATGAAGTTCCGAGGATCATAAACACGGGCCCCAATGAGATCGTTCAGTGTAAGTTGTGTAGAATTTCCGAATCCATTCGGGAGCTTGTGAGGGAGAATATTTTTTTACAGAAAATGGAAACAAAATGTATGAAAAATTTTGACAGAAAAATAGAATTCTATTGGATTTCTATTGAACTTGCTATTAGCTTTTGGCCGATTCTATCTAAATGTTCAATAGAAAATATTCTCTAGAAGAAGTCAATTGAATATGACTTTTCTATCGAACTTATTCTATTCAGGTATTTTCCATAGAATTCTCTCGGCTCAAATTTTTTAAGTTTTTTTGTTTGATTTTCTTGATGAAAAGAATAGAAAAGTAGAATGAAAAAACAACTTGGAAAATTTGAACCGAGGACATTTTGTAGAAAACATTTCAATAGAATAAGTTGTATAGAAAAATTGTATTCTATTCACTTTTTTTATAGAATATTTTTTATTGAACATTTCAATAGTATTGGCCAAAAATTAATAGAGAGTTCAATTGTCAACGAACTCATTTCATTAACCGAAGAGTGTACATATTAGATTAACGACGTGGCTCGATCCCACGAATAACAAGTGAATTTTTATACCTCAGTGTTAATAGTTAATTCCGGCCTATCCACAAAAAACACTTCCCACATCTACCCTAAACCTAGCTCTTCTCCAAATAGGCCTTTTTTGTGGAACGAATTGAGGGCTACAAAAAAGGTCATAACAAAAGTTTACCTACCTCCCTTGGATTCTGAGATATTTATTGAAAATTGGTCAATAGTTGAAATCGGCTTGAACCGTTTTACCACTCGGCTACTGAATTAGATTTTTTTTGACGTGGACACGTCTTTAATTTCATGTTGGGGGTCACTCGCGGAGTTACTCCTAACAGCCAGGGCCATCTGTCGAGATTCGAGTAGTTTTCTAGATTTTTCTAGAAAATTCAAGAAAATTTTACAATTTTTTGTAGAAAAATCTAGAATCTAGATTTCTAGAATCTAGAATCTAGATTGTTGAATTCTTTAGAAAATCGAAAAAGTTTTTTGAATTTTCTAGAAAATTCGAGAAAATTCTCCGGTTTTCTGGAAAATTCAAGAAAATTGTCCGGATTTCTAGAGAATTCTCCGGTTCTACAGAAAATTCTTCAGTTACTGCGTCTGAAAAAATTCTCACATTTTTTAGAGCATTTGGATATTTTTTGAAAAATTAAATTTATGTCAATCCCTACAATAAAAAAACCCTAAGCGCCTAGAATGTAACTCCCCCATTATCCCCACATCGACACGTCGCCGCACCCACAGATAACTAGCAACTAGACGTGTCCACGTTGATTCTAACAACTGTATCAATGACACAGCCGTTTAGTATTTTCCCCTTTCCTTCCAGTATCCGACTGCAACGAGGAGATAGCTCTCACCAGCAAGGACAACTCTTCGTACATCATCACCTCCCCAGGCTATCCAAATGGTTACGACCGCATGTTACACTGTAACTGGCTCATCACATCCCCCCCTGGAACTCACCTGGTCCTGAGGTTCAAAGACCTCAACCTCGAAGAGACCGACGGCTGCGTAGGCGATCGTATCTCAGTGTTCTCGGGGATGGCACTACCCCGTGAGCCCCCTCCAGAAGCCCAACTCCTCGGGAAATACTGCCTGAGCAACGAGTCCATGTCAATCGTAGAAAGCCCCACCAATACCATGACCGTCAAATTCGAGTCCGACTCCTACCTCAATAGGACCGGCTTCAAAGCCGAAGTGACGCGCATTTGTGGTGGTCAACTGGGTGGTCCCAACGGTGTAATCCACTTCAACGAGACTACCAAAGGTACAACCTGGGGCTGGCGATACATGTGTGAGTGGAATGTCACAGTCGGACGTGGAAAAACGATAGAAGTGACCATCAACTTCATAGAAGTCCCAAAGACAACCGAGAAAGGCTGCGGAGACCACTACGTTCTCCTGAAGAACGGCCAAGAGCCAGGCTCTCCCTTCCTCGGCGACGGAAAATACTGCAGCTCCGACGTTGTTGAGCCCCTGACGACCACCAGTAACAAACTCTACGTGAAAGTTGCTGCTGTTGGTGCTCAGGGAGTCTACAAAATATCTTACCGCGAAGTTGGTGTCGAGTGTGGAGGCACTTTCGAATTGATAGAAGGTGTCAATGAGCAGCAGTTTATGACACCACGGTATCCAAACGTTCCACCGCCTTACACCGAGTGCCTGTGGACGTTCATGGCACCAGCTGGTCAGAGATTATCTCTCCACTTCATCGAACGCTTCGACCTGACATTCAGTCTCGAATGCCAGAAGGAGTACGTCGAAGTGAGGGACGGTGGAACAGATAATGCACAGCTGCTGGGTGCCTACTGCGGTAGCAAGGCCCCAAGCACCATTTCCAGCTCTGGAAATATGCTCTACGTCAAGTACTACACAGACATGAACATCCCCGGAAACGGCTTCAAAGCTCTAGTGACGAACGACGAGGTCTGCGGAGGAGTCATCAGAGCGTCATCGGGTGTAGTCTCATCTCCGAACTATCCAAACCCATACCCCAAGGGCAAACAGTGTGTCTGGTGGATCATCGGGCCCGAGCATCACTCCCTCAAATTCCAATTCACGGATTTCCACCTCCCCGGCTGGAGGAACTGCAATGACACAGATCACCTGGCCATCATCGAGAAGATGCCCAATAATGAGACACTGAGTGAGCCCCAGACCTTCTGCGGAATGAGGAGCCGACCTGACACCATCGAAACATCATCCAACGAGGCAATCATAACTCTGCACACAAACGGTAAAATCGTGGGGAGCTACCGAGGTTTTCGTCTCAATTTCTCCGCAACCATAGGCGAATGCGGGGGTGAACTCAACACTATGGAGGGCACATTCCACTCGTCCGGATATCCAATTCCGCGGCTCTCCGCGACGTACTGCTCGTGGAAGATAACAGTGGCCGCAGGTGATCAAGTGAAGCTTGAAATCCTCGATCTGGACATCGACTTTCAGGGCCCCGACGTCTACGGCGTGAGATTCTACAACGATCATCGGTTCACATCGCGCATCGGAATGGCGAACACACCGAATTATGAGAGAGTAGTCTACAGTTCATCGAACTTGATGCTGGTGACGTTCTTTGCGGAGCCAGGATACAGGGGATTGAGCGCGAAATTTAGTTCTGAGCCTTCAGCGCCTTGCGGGGGGTTGATCAGGGATGCCAGTGGTTCTTTATCAATTCCAAGTGCTGAACCCTACAGAAGTAGACCGTTCTTCTGTCCGTGGACGCTCGTCGCCCCAATCAGTATGATCACATTCAACACGCCGGTGGAAGTTACTCTAGCCGTCACCATCACTGGCTCCCTGGGGAAATTCGGCCGACAGTACAGACGGTGTGCTGCAAGATCGAAGAACGTAGTGTTGAGAGATGTCTCTGATAAAGTCATTGGTGCTGTCTGCGGGAATGTAACACAAGAACCTTTCGTGATGCGAAGTCGATCCCCCATAAATCTCCTTCAGATTATGAATGGCACTATGGGAGGCCCCATAAGTGTCGACGTGAAGTATCAGTGGAACCGCTGCGGTGGTGCTCTGACTGGTCCGTCGCACAGAATCACAACCCCAGCGAACGTGTCCTTCCCGAGGAATTGCGTGTGGGAGGCGCAGTACCCCGAGGGGCAAGGGATCCTCATGCGATTCAATAAGATCAATCTGGGCGCCTGTGACAAGGGGCACATAATCGTGAGGAACGGGGGGCCGCAGTCACCGCAGGCTGGAAAGTACTGCGGCAACATCAGGCCCGAGAATTTCACCAGCACATCCAGTAAATTGTGGATAGAGTACTACGCTAGTGAGGCCCCTGGGGACTTCGAGTTCGAGCTCAACACGGTTCCCAAGGCCTGCGGATCCTCCGGGCTGGACATTTCCTCACCCGGGTTCCCAAAGACCTATCCGAACAATAGCGAATGCGTCTGGGAGTTTGATGTGGAGCCGGGGTATCACATTGGCCTGTCCTTCATCGAGAGATTCAGCCTGGAGACGAGTGCCAACTGCGTCAGTGATTACGTCGAAGTGTTCGATCGCGAGAGCAGTAGCGAGAGGGCCTGGAAGTCCTTGGGGAAAGTCTGCGGGAGGAATACTCCGTCGCCCTTCAACACAACGACGAATCACATAAAAGTCGTCTTTCACTCGAACGAAGTGACGGAGAGCGACGGCTTCAAAGCGCACATCGATAAAAACTGTGGGGGGGTCTTCATGGCTTCCAAGTCCGGTCAGACGATCATGTCCCCCAGGTATCCAGCCGGCTACCCTCGTGATCTCATCTGCAACTACACCATCCTCGCTCCCAAAGGACGAATGGTGATCGTGGAATTCGACGAATTCGAGCTTGAGAATATCAGTCCCAGCTGTAACTGGGCGAATCTCACAATAACTAATGAGTACTACTGGAGAAGACAGGAAACCCCTTACTGTGGTAGCAACAAGCCGCCGGTGCAGATGTCCCCGAAGAAGATTGAGATGATCTTCAGGACTTACGCACGCTTCAACGGACGTGGCTTTGTGTTCAAATACCTGATGAACGAGTGCGGGGGAGAGGTGACGGAAGAGGGAGTGATATCACCACCGATGACAAGTGACAGTTCTAATTACTACGGGGGATTGAACTGCACTTGGATCGTAACAGCACCTGCGGACAAGAGCATCGCCCTGAGGTTCGACACCTTCGAGATCGAGTACAGCAGCAGATGTTTCCACGACAAAGTGCGAGTGTACGAGGGGCCTCAGTTGAACGCCACGAAGATTCTGTCGACCTACTGTGGAAATCTTACGGAGAATCTCCCTCTCACTAAATCCCTGGGCAACATCATGACTGTCAGCTTCATCTCTGACTACTCGAGGCATTACAAGGGCTTCAAGGCCAGAATTGTCTTCACCAAGAGCATTGCCTCGGGCTGCGGGGGGCAGATCAACCTGACCAGCAGTCACGATTGGAGGACCCAGCGAGAAGCCTTCTACGAGAACTTCGAGGAGTGCATGTGGAGCGTGAGCGCCGGCGCTGGGAAAGCCATCAGGATGACGTTCAAGAGTTTCGATATTCAAAATACTCCGAACAGAACTGTGCTACCTCAGACAGCTCCCTGCAGCGGGGATTACCTGGAAGTCAGAGACGGCAGAGGTCCGTACTCGGAATTGGTGGGGAGATACTGTGGGAGTGCCCTCCCAGCGGCGATCTCTTCCTCGAGGAATCTTCTTTGGATTCGGTTCTACAGCGATGGGGAGAACACGGGACGTGGGGCAACAGCCACGCTGGAGGCGTTTGACACCCCCTGTGGAGAGTCCGTTATCAGAGTTGAGAATACAACTGTGACGTTGAAATCCCCTCATTACCCTGCGGATTACCCCCTCGGACTCGAGTGCAAGTGGGTCCTGTCGGGATCTAACGGAAAGGATCTTCACATTCATTTTAAGAATATTGATATGGAGAATTCGAACGACTGCGAAGGGGACCACCTTCGGCTGACTGACAGAAGACTGAATAAACATATTGAAGAAGGCTTCGGGGAGGATTTCTTGATCAATGGAAAAGCCGGATCGCTTTTCAGGCATTTTAACGATCACAAACCTGTGGCTACTTACACCTTCTGTGCCAAGGTCGATTACTACGATTACTATGCTGGGGGGAATGTTGTTGAAGTCGCGTTGAAATCAAAGAACGAAAACTCTGAGAAGCCGAGGAAGTTCGAGCTGGAGGTCTCCATCGCGGATTGCAGGAGAAATTACACAAGTCCTCAGGGGAGAATCTTCCATCAGGGGTTCAACAACTGCTGGACGACGATCACTGTTCCCCCTGGGAATACCATTTCCCTGTACTTTATGAGCCTCAGAATTTACGATCGATCTGGATGTCCTAATAAATATATCAAGGTTTATGATGGGGACTTCAGTGCTCCGGTTATTGGGACGTACTGTGGAATGCAGCTGCCCGCGCCTATTTTCAGCACTGGAAATACGATTAGTCTCATGTCGAACTCTCAGAGCGGTACTACGTGGGAGAATTATGATATCGTTTACACATCGACGGATAAGGGGAGAGGTTGCGGAGGGAAAATCTTCAATTATGCGGGGAAATTGACGTCGCCGATGTTCCCGAATAATTACAGGAATGATAGCCGTTGCATTTGGGAAGTTAGTGTCCCGAGAGGGTCGAAGGTTTTGTTGGACTTTGCGACGTTTGATCTTGGGTCTGGAGAGAATTGCGACACGTATCTAATGGTTGAGGAGACGAGTGAACATGGGGCATCTGCTACTAGATATTGCGGAGGGGTAAGGAAGTTGATGATAACGTATTTTTTTGCCTGATGTTGTGTGAAAAAATTTGATAGAAAAATCTAGCGAATTCGGTAGACAATTATATTGGATTTCTGTTGAACTCTATTCTTTTTGGCCGACTCTATTGAAATGTTCATTAGAGAAATTCTGTAGAAAAAGTTAATAGAATTTGATTTTTCTATTCAACTTATTCTATGGAGATATTTTCTATAGAATTTTCTTGGCTTAAATTTTCTGTTTTGTTCGATTTCCTTGATAAAAAGAAGAAACGATAGAATAGAATACTTTATTTCGTGGATGCTACTATTATAGTTTTACATCTACACATTGAAAAATACTCCCTGTAACACTCCAATAAATTGTTTTCATATAAAATAATTAGGGGGCTGAACACCCTGCCGCTCCGCTCACATGACCCTCATGATCCTCATTCTGACTCTTGTGACCCTTAATCTGACCCTTGTGACCCTCATTCTGAACTTCATTATACCCCTCGTAACCCTTAATTTTGGAGTCTTACTTTCGAGTACCAAATTTTCATCACCAGGTCATTTGGATTTTTATAATATAAAGAGATAGGGACCCTTATGTTGACCCTTATTACCATTCGTTTCTGACCTCCATGACTCTTATTTTTGGAGCCTTAATCAGATCTTTGTTACCCTTAATTTGGTCCCTGTGACCTTGTTTTTAGACTCGTAATCTGACCCTTGTTAGCCCTTATTTGAACCCTTAATCTGACCCATACGACCCTTAATCTAATCCTTATGACCCTTATTTGAACCTTTATTCTCACCCTTGTGACCCTTATTCCGACCCTCGCGACCCTTATTCTGAACCTCGTGACCCTTATTGTGACCCTTGCTTTAACCTTCATAATCCTTATTTTGACCCTCGTGACCCTTATTTTGACCTCCGTGACCCTTATTTTGACCCTTGTGACTGTTAATTTTGAAGTCTTAATTTCGAGTACTAAATGTTCATCACCAAGAGTCGATTTGGATTTTTATAATACAGACAGATGTATAATCAGTAATGGTAATTACACAGTATCACAGTTTAAGCAGTTTTAACAGTCATTAAAAGGATCAAAAGAACTCGTCTTGACGGAAAACATATTTGAATAATTTGATCTGATATTTAAATTATATTAGCATTATGATTAACTCAATTCTTAGTCTCTTCAAGCTTCTTTTCGCCCTATGCACAACGGTACATTTACTTCGCCTGCTACTGCATATAGTAACTTCTTTCTTCAGCTTCTTTGATTACATCCTTTTCACCAGACTCTATCTGATACTTTCAGTCTTCTCATCACCATCTCGCAGCTCAAAGAAAAATGGAATAAAAAAAAACTTCGAAAATATTTGCCCAGGAAGTTCTACACAAAATATCTCAATAGAATAAGTTGCATAGAAAAATCGAATTCTATTGACTTTTTCTGTGGAATATTTTCTATTTAACATTAACATTTCAATAGAATCGGCCAAAAAACAATAGAAAGTTCAATAGAAATCCAATAAAATTGTCTGGCTAATTGGCTAGGTTTTTCTATTAAATTTAGTCGTATGTAGTATGCAAGAATTTGTCTATACGAAGGAACTTTTTTTTAGGAACGCCCTGCAAAGTATAAGAGTCATACGAACGAAGTGAAGATAACGTACACTACAACTCTGAATAATGGTGGGACTGGATGGGAGATCAATTTCGTTGCTGTTAGAGAAGGTGACTTTTATTGTTGATTGATCTATGTGATATTCGTTTGATCTAGAATCATTTAAACTAGATGTGAATTCATTTCTCGTTTTGTGTTTACCAGATTACGACGACTCGAGTGATGGACCGACTATCTGGGGATACAAACCATTGATGATGATTGATTAATTCGATCTTTCGAACGTGCTGAATAAGATACCGAAAAAATTAGTGTTTTTTAAAATTTAAGATGTAAATGTGATAAATTTCAGTATGATTGTTATGAATCATAACGGTGGTAGTTTGTATTACATATATCTGATCTTCATTCCTCACTCCTGATGATTTATCCCATTTTTCTCTTCTCTCCCTATATTTCGAGTATTTGAAATTGATGCCAAAAAAATACCGTCATCAGTTTTCGGCCACCGTGGTGCATTCTAGCGGTGACAGAGTGAAGCTCGCCGAATTTTTGCGGCCTGTTCATTGCTTCAATAGGTTACTTGTGGGCAGGGTTGCCAGATTGGGCTATTTCCCGCCAATTGGGCTATTCGGGATACATTTTGGCGGGCAAATTTTTACTCCGGGCTATAACCCGCCAAGTGGGCTATATGCTGGCTGCATGGCTTTTTAAAAATATAGTATAGATGACGAGAGGTATACTAAATTTTACCAAAGAAGTAACCTCGATTTCAGTGATGAGGTTACTTCTTTGGCAAGAAGCACTTTATGAAGAGTCAGTCATGCAAAGTGTGAAACGTGTGGGTGCTTGGGAGGAACTGCGTGAAATTTGTATCTGTGGAATTTTTGTTTCCAACTGGCGCCACTGAGCGGCGATTGCATCAACAGATATAGGCTATCCAGTAGAAGTTTATCCTTCCGAGGGTACCCCCACTCTACGTAATTCCCACTCACATGCTTGGACTCCACTAAAACAATTCACGGCTATTCTTCTGGAAGATAACCTACACGTGGTTGCTGACCGAGTACTACCTCTCGATTCTTGGTATTCTCTGTTCTATTAAGATAAATACATTATCTGGACTTATTTTTATCGCGTTTTTATTCATTCCCACCGTAATTCAAATGCCAGCGATCCAAAAAAATGAGAAAAAGGAAGATTCTCGAGTCAGAAAATATCGAGAGGAATGGGAGAAAGAGAAAGAATTCCAAGGTAAACGGTTGAGGTTATGAGTATTTGTCACATCAACAAACCAACAGCTTATTATTATCAACATCACCATCCCCACGAAATGTTCATTGTAGGATGGCTGAGTTCAGCTTCTGAAGCATTGGGAAAATCTGATCATTCCTATTGTAAATGGTGTCGAGTGACCATTCGTTCCCACAAAAATGATCTCAAGTCTCATGCAGGCACAGTTGGCCACAAACAAAGAGCAGAAACGAGGATTTTGTATGCACAGAAAAGTTTGGCCGACTGTGGTAAGTTTTATGTCATTAAATTCTTTATTGTTCAGTGACTCACATATGCGAAATGTTCCGAGTTCAAATCCCGGCCGGGTAGAATGGTGCGATCTAACCATTTAAAGTCTTGATCATTATCGCAGTATACCCTAACCAGGTCGAAGCGATGTAAAATAACGATAAAAAAAATATTGTTCGGTGTTGATTGTCGTCAGGCCATGATAAAAATTTATTGTTATTTTTCTTATTTTTCCATCTAGGCATTGCACATGTCAGTGATCACAGTAAAATCACTGGTATCAAACTTGTACTACATGCAGCAGTTCATGGAACAATAAACAGTATCGATCATCTCTGTGAATTATTGAAGGATTGTGGGAAAGGGCATATTTGTAAAGTTGCGACTCCATCGCACCAAAGTGTCCCAGATAATTTTAAATGTCATCGCTCCAACATTTCTCAAGGATCTCATCGATGATATNTTTGGAAATTCTCTTCTTCCAACTGATTCGCGAGATTTAGGTGAAAAATTTGATATTGCTGCCAGACAGATGCAGGTGAAGACCACTGTTCTCAATGAAATCAAGGAAAGAGCCTCTTTATTCATCATCCGTCTGTGCAAAGAATTGTGGCAGAGGCTACCCCAGAATCTGGGTATGATTGACAGTCTGAAATATTTTTCCCCCCTGACTTGCCTTTCCCAATATCCCATCCCAGCCAGGGATCTTCCTAGGGACTTAGCAGGTGATGGAGCGGACCGAGAGACTATCGAGACGCAGTGGCGGATTCTACAATCGTTGAGACTCGGTGAAATTTTGCCGAATCACGAGGAGCCTGTAAAAGTGGTTGATTTCTGGATTGCTGTGTGGAATATGAGGAATGCAAATGAGGAGAGAACGTTTGGAGAGTTGAGTATGTTTGCTCTAAGAGTTTTGTCACTGCCTATCAGTAATGCTGGAGTGGAAAGAGTTTTCAGCATTATGACAGCTGTTAAGACAAAAGTACGTAACCGACTACTCATGCCCATGTTGGTCGCTTTGATCCGTACACGAGTTCATATGAAAACAATGAACCAGTGCTGTAAGACTTATATAGATTATATAGACTTATATAGATTTAATAAAAACATGTACGAGGCATCTATATCTGGAATGAAAACCGTTGAGATCGATTCCACCTTCCTGGAAGCTTATGAGATTTTTGAGGAGTCCACAAGGAGTACACAAGACTAGAGAATCTAATATTGTTGAATTTTGATTTAATTGACGAATATCTTAATATTGTTATTCTATTCGTACTCTTTTTAATGACTCGGGACCAAAAGTGTGTTGCCAAAAAAATATTGCTATCAATATTAATATAGTTTGTATGGAAATGTAAAGAATAAAGAGTTTAATATGTTATAATTATTTGTTTATATTTGCTGTACTGGATTTTTCACATTCGTAATTTTTTCAAATTTTCTTGTTTGAAGTGGGCGGGAATTGGCGGGGAAAATTTTGGAGGGGACTATTTTTGGGCTGTACCAGCGCCACGTATTGGCGGTTCGGCTTCCCAAGTATCTGGCAACCCTGCTTGTGGGTCAGCCTGTTGACATTGACGCAAAACGTTACAGGAACTGTAGGACTTGGAAATNACTTTTGGTCAACTGTTGGAGAATTAGACAAGTCAATTACTATTATTAATTTATTAAGTATTAATTTTCACGTATTTCCTCATAATTTTGTTATCAATTCATTGTTTTTCCATCAAAAATGAAAAAAACAAAACAGGAAATTATTTTTCATGTATTTTGAACACGCCGTACGCGGAGGGATACACCACCGTCCCACCGCGCATGCGCGCGTCGGTGGTGGGGGAAGTAGGGGTTAGATGGAAAGATCACTCTCATATTGTCGCCAGTATAATCTCTTCATCTGATCAATAACCAAACTAACGCTACATGAACAATATCCGCATCGAGAGCATCGTTGCAGCTAGCAATTGAAATAATCTTCGAAGTAATTGAAGAATTTGTGAGTGATTGATCAATCATGATTGCAGATGCGCATATGCAGTTTTTACAATATCAACCTATTAATTTATAAACATTTGCAATTTCAGAACACATTGAAGTATCCTGACGCGCTGAATTATTCTCGTACTATTTACAACAATGTCCTCATCAACCCTGTCTGCTACAAGACCCAGTATAATTGGTTGTACCGAAGTTAAAGTGGAACACTTCACGTGCAAGTGGATTATAAAAGAGTTTAAATATCTCCCCCATAGTAGTAATATATCCATCGATTCACCAGTCTTCTGTACAGTTGACAATGACGTAGAATGGAAGCTGAGCCTGTATCCAGAGGGATTGAGTCATATGCCTAGGCGGGATAACAATAATGCATTATTTTATCTTCATTGGTCTCAGAACGTTAACGAGATGCGATACATTTTCGTCGAGCTCTCCATACCCAACAATCCAGTCATAAGTACCTCCATATCAACATATGACGGTAGCCATAAGTCTCAATGTATCTTTCGTACAAATTATGCAAAGCTGCTGGAGTCATGTGACTCTGATAATACTCTCACAATACTTTGTCAAATTAAACTACCAGGACCAGTCACCTCAAAGGTGATCGAAGCAAGGAAATCTATGAAGCAAGCATTCGATACTCAAAAAGGGCAGTGGTGTCAAGATTTTCGCCGACTTTTGGAGGAATCAAAGTTCACTGACTTTGCACTCCTTGTGGGAACCCACAAATTCCCAGCACATAAGCTCGTTTTGGCAGCTCGCAGCTCAGTTTTCTCAGCAATGTTCGCACATGAGGAGACGGAAGAAAATCTCAAAAACGAAGTGAAGATTGAGAACATGGAGCCAGCCACCATACAAGCCATGCTTGAATTTTTCTACACAGACAAAGTGACAAATCTGGAGGAATTAGCTCATGATTTATTGGAAGCAGCTGATAAATACGATGTACCACTCTTGAGGAGTATGTGCGAGGAAGTTCTGTATGCGACAGTCAACGCAGAGAATGCTGCGGAGATCTTGATTTTGGCTGATCTTCATCGTTCCCCCAAATTGAAGGAGCATGTTATGGGGTTCATGGCTGATCATCTACGTCATGCAGTGGAGTCTGATAGCTACAAGGTGATGGAAGAAGTTTATCCTTCACTCACGAAGGAATTGATGCGATTTATTGCTGTTAACAAGTAAAAATAATGTTTGGAATAGGGAAATAGTGCATCTGACAACCCTGTTCTGCATGGAATATCAGCGAGAGTATTTTTACTGCATGCATCCAATTCATTTCTCCATACACCTGACAAAAATCACTATATGTCGGTAGCAATTCACTTTTACTTTAATAATCCATTTCAATAATTAAATCGTAACACATTGATATAGTGTATTTGCATTTTTATCAGTTAACAATGTATTTTCAAAATATTATCATTTTTATTCAATAACCTGACGTTCATTTTTTTGTACAATTTTCTATATTTGAAACACAATAGTACACGCACGAGAAAATTGAATAGAAAAACCTAGAAAATTCGTTGGAAAATTTTATTTGATTTCTATTAAACTTTCGATTAGTTTTTGGTCGATTCTATTGAAACGTTCGAAAGAAAATATTCAATAGAAAAAGTCAATAGAATTCGATTTTTCTATACAATTTATCTCTTCAGATATTTACTATAGAATTTCCTCGGTTCAAATTTTGTATTTTTTAAATTCTACTTTTCTTTTTTTCTCATGAAGAAAATTAAATAACAAAATTTAGAAAATTGAGCCGAGGAAATTTTATATAAAATATCTCAATAGAGTAAGTTGTATAGAAAAATCTAATTCTTTTGGGTTTTCTATAGAACATTTTCTATCGAACATTTCAATAGAATCGGCCAAAAACTAATAGAAAGTTTCATAAAAAGCCAGTAAAATTGTCTAGGCAATTCGCTAGGTTGCCACAACGAAATAATACGCGAAACTTTGATGACATTTTAATTAATGATAGTACTATCACATGAAAAAATAGAAGAAAAAAATAGTGAAATAAGAATAAAAAACGAGAACCCATCCGGAAGTAAATTGCTGATTTATTAACAACGATAACTATACTCATTTGTAAAAAATGCACTTGTTATTTAATGATGGCAATGCGTCATACAGAGTATTGATTGAATGAAGATTCATTGTTTTTTTTAAATTTTCATAGCGAGTTGAGAACAAGGCGTTTTCCTCAGTTCGGATGATTGTCCGGTAGTATACTTTGCGTTTCCTCTGTTTATGGTGGATTCTGTGTTTAGTACAGATCGAATGCTAAATTTGTTGTACCCAGCGTGGGGGATACTTATAATTATAGTAGGTTCTTGTCTTGAAGGGGTAAATGCCACCAGTAGTTTATCGACATTAAAATATGAGAATTTATTATTTGATTATAATTACTGTCTCATCTGATTGATTACAAAGAGTTTACGACTTTTGTAAGTGTCGGAATCCAATTCAGGGGAGCGATTTTGCTCGTTTTATGTTGACAAAAAATCATAAATCTCAACCAATTCTAGTTGAGTATTCCGAATCCAGGACTGTCATTGGTTGATATTAACGATTTTATGTCTATATAACGGTGGGTTTTCACTCGTAGCGGACAGTCTGCAAATGACAGAATACGACGTATTGCACTCGATAAATCGCGATCGCAAAACCGCCGTCGGCGCTCTGGCCAAAAATGGGGGACCGTGGAGAACTACTAACTTGCGGAGCTGCTCAGAACCCTAACCTCAAATAGTGCTGAAATGTCCAATTGTTTCAAGTACAAGCCGTGAATTAAATTTTGATCTTATAACCTACCGATTGTTTATGAAAATGGCACAGAACAATTATCTCAAGAATTCGAAAAGAGGATGCTGTGTTCCACAGTGCAAAGTAAAGGATAAACTGAATTTAAGTTTCCATAGTTTTCTATCCGATTTAATTTTACGGAACAAGTGGATGGAAGCATTGAAACTGAGACTAATTTACGATAAAAACATGAAAGTTTGCAGTCATCATTTCTCTCCTGACGATTATATAAAGCGGCGTAGGTATTTCATGTAGAGATGAATATTCTATAATGAAATTAGCCGAGTCGGTTGAGTCCATTGTTTGTTGAATATCTCGTAACCGAAAGCAAGTTAAAAAATTTTGGTAATGAACTTTTTTAGGTCTACATTTGTGTCTACATCAATGAATAGTTTGTTATTTCATACTCCAAAACCTTGGCGCACTACCATCAGATTGGTTCCGCAAGATAGTAATTCTACAAACCACCACCAGACGGCGAGAAATCGCTTTGCCAAAATCGATCAAATCGATCGCCAAATGCCTAATAGACCTTTTCATTCTGAGAGTCACTAGATTTGCGGACACTTTTTTCCCATGTTAATTCCCCTAGGATTTGCGGACACTTTATCGAATTTACATATAAATCATGGTTTTTGAGTGCTTAAGTGTATATCATTGTAAAGTTCAATATTTATCAGAATTTTCCATGGTTTTTTCGGAGATTTTTCCGTTGAATGAACGAAATAAATATTTCCCCTAGATTTCCAGAATGAAAAGGTCTATTAAGTAACCTCGATTGAATTTAAATACCGTACCTTTCTGAATGTCACTTTTTTTCACATGAAGTCGTACGTAGGGAGAATACTTCATGAACTTTCTAATACTTGTAGCCCTCTTCAGCCAAATTTTTAAAGTACAGAATAGACCGTCCAAGTGCCCTGAAGAGCCGACCCCTGATATTCTTTATTCAATGGAAATTCAAGTGACTGGCGACATCTACAGTGAACTATGTATACATTACTCACTCATGGCATGATTTATTGCCAACCCTAAACAGCTGTAGAATTCACGATAAGACTTGTATCGCTAATAAATTGCATCATTTCTCGTTCCCAAAAAACGTTGAAAGTGCACAGAGGCTAGACAAATAGTGACGTTCAAGTGCATTAGACAATACAAAATGTCGACGAATTGTGATAATGTAGTTAAAGTAACACGCCTGCGTCTGCAAAAGTTTACTGTTTTCCAGTGTTCGTACAAGTGGGTGATACCCAATTGTAAAAGCGAAGGTTCTATTACGTCGTCAAACTTTTTAATTGATGGTTTGGACGAAGTACAATTTTACTTCATATTAGATCGATTGAATGCTTCATTCAGAATAGCTCTGGGAAAAGAGTTGGTGTATAAGCAGCCAATACTTCTGAACTTGGAGGCTTCAGTTTTGAATTCGAATGATTTCAAGAAGGACACGATATGTAGCGGCGTACAAACGTTTCGAGGAGGATACCCCACTTCGTTCCTACCGTTCCAACGGTCCCAACTGATACCTGAAAGCACTCTACAAGAAAACCCCGAAGTGATCTCCGATAAGACTCTGAAGATTCTATGTAACTTCCAAATTATCGACGACTCTCAGAAACCGTTCCCAGCCAATACTACGAGTAACCTCCGCCAGGATATGAAATATCTTCTTGAAAACCATACTAATACTGATGTGATTCTTCAAACTGGCAACAAAACATTCAAGGCCCACAAAGCAATTTTATCTGCACGGAGTCCAGTGTTCGCTGCGACGTTTAAAGGCGATTGGAAGGAGAATAAAGAGAACAAAGTTGAAGTTCCTGATATGCATCAAGATGTACTCGGGGAGTTATTGACGTTCATGTACACCGATGAAACTCCAAATTTGACAACTATGGCAATGAGTCTGCTTGCAGCCGCGGACAGATATAATGTCGAGAGTCTCAAAAGTAGATGTGAAAAACACCTTTTCGAATATATGACTGTTGAGAATGCTGCTGAAATATTGGAAACTGCTAATTTACATAATGCTGAGCGATTGAAGAAGAGTGCTGTGGAATTCATTCACTTCCACAGGAAGAGCTTCGTGAAGACCGCAGGATATAAAGCATTGCGACAATCGAATGGAGAGCTTATTTTGGAGATGTTCGAGGCAGATACAGTACTTTGATCATTATATCAGATTTTCATTCCAAGAACTTCCTGATTGTAAACATTCTCAATTTCATCATTATGAGATCGATATCCATGTGTTTGTATTTCCGTAATTTACTGTCAAAAATTGATGAAGGATAATTTTTTTTAACTAAAAAAAGTATTTTTTATGGATTCAAAAAGCATGTAATTCCATTTATTATGCATTAAATATATACCTTTGGAAATACATCCGCGTCGCCATTATCCCATTATCCTCCAATTAGGATTCAGCTGTTGTATCTCTCTGGGATATATTTTACCAAAAATTGTGAATAAAATGTCAATTTTTTGGACGCCAATTAGAGTTTGGCCGAAAATCGCTATGATTCATACAATTATCACTTAAATAAGTGAATATTCCATTAAATATTAACAAATGGTGGAGGTTAGACTCGTATCTTTTATTATTCATCGTCAGTATTATTTTTTGAGTGAAAAATAATTATTTCTCTAATTATACAATCGAAATACATTTTTCACAGAGCTTTTATTTGTTGGTAATCGAGAATTTAATTGAATTGGCTCATTTTTTATTATTCAATTGAATATTCCCTCATTTGGAGGATAATTGCATGAATAATCGAGATTTCCGGTCATTTTCAATATTAGTTCCACTGAAAAAAATAACCATCGAACTGCGGCGAAAGACAAAATCTAATTGATGCTAAAATTCCTTTCATTTTATTGACAATTTTTGGTGACAATTTCAGATTTTTATAAATTTACCTTTTTCTCGTATAAACCCCGTCAAACTGAAGATGATGCTATGTATGACGTCTCAACTTCAAGGGTTTTTCATTTTCTTTGAGTGTACCAAAGGGCGATTTGCTAGCTTGAAACTCCGCAGAAATAATGAGGCAAATTTGGAAAAAAAAATTTTTGGACAAAAACGAGTCATTTTTAAAAAATTATAACTCCCTCAATTCTCAATATTTTTCACTTTTTCTGTTTTCATAATTTTCGTCTAATTATTATATTTTCAGAAAAAAATTGAGACAAAAATCTCCAGCATCGACTTTTTTGGCCCGCTGGTGTAACAGCTCATATCAGTATAACATTCAATTACAATATCTGTTCTAATTTCATATAAACCCATGCATTGACACATGTACCTTCGCCAACATAATAATTATCTCCCCCCCCGCAATCAATGTTAATATATTTACAAGGAAAAAAGATGCTTACGGAATAGTCGAACGTCAAGGTTTTCTCTGTACATAAATACACGACGCTCACTGTCGACTGGCATCAGAACAGTCTTGATATTTCGAGTCAGCAAGAAAACACCCGGATATCAGAATGAAATTCATTGGAATTATTCTACTGCTGGCGGTGTTGATGATGTTTGCGAATGGGCAGAACAGTTGCATGGAACACGGTGGCAAGGTGAGAGAATTTCTAAACGATGAACTAATTTAAGGGGAGATCCACGCATGAACAAATTAAGTAGAAAACCTACCGAATTCGCTAGAAAATGCTATTGGACTTCTCTTCTATAGAATTTGTATCGAAATTCTATTGAAAAATTCTACTTGTTTTTTACGCTGATTCCATTGCATACTTGGTAGGGAAAAGTCAATATATTTTGAATTTTAGTTCGAAATTTTCCCTTCAGATTTTTTCTATTAGAATTATTGGGCACAAATTTTCTAAGTTTTTTCCGCAGGATTTTGCTTTGTTTTGCATTACAGAATCCGAGTGGAAAAAATTTTGAAACTTGGTGCCCAAGCATTTTTATAGAAAAAATCTCAAGAGAAAAATTCAAACAGAAATTCACAATCTATTGACTTTTTCTTATCGAATATCCAATAGAATCAGCGCAAAAAACAAATAGAATTTTTCAGTAGAATTCCAACAGAAATTCTACAGAAACCCCATAGAATTTTTATAGAATTCCTATAGAATTTTTTATTGAATTTTTTCATACGTGCCGCGGTGATATTTGAAAGTCTCTGGGTATTATAGAGACGATTGTAAAAAATTACGTTGCGCACAGTTGACATATGCACAAAAGAACCAACGATGGATTTAAAAAATATTGATTTTCGATATGTATTTTAATTTTTTTCTCCCCCGTGGTATGTCGCAATTTGTTATAATATAGACGAAACCCCGGTTCATACTATCTTAATGAATTACAAATTCAAATTTCACCGCAGTCTTCCCTTCAGCAACCAAATTAATTAGTGTAATTTTGATTGAAATAGATAAGTTATGGATTATCTTAGGGACTCGTAAAAATAACATCATCATTTATATCAAAAAAGAAGACAGAGACAAGATAATAAAATGACTTATGAAGTGGTAATGATAACTTTTTTTCAAAATAAATTCCTAGATATTTTTTCTAAATATTTTCAGAAGGAAAAGGTCTATGAAAACTCCTGTGCAGACATTTATGCAGAGGATTTCATGTTCTAATATTTGAAAAACCTACCGATTTGACATTCTTCAGCTGTTCGGGCTTGAAGAGCTTGCAATAGTTATTTTCATCACAAGGTCCACAAAGTATTTTCTGACGAATGTGGCTTTGTATAATCACATTCGTCAGAAAATACTTTTGGACCGTGGGATGAATGCAATTTTTCGTCAGAAGGCCCGTAAAGGACCTTCTCCCCCCCCCCTCGCGAGGACCCCTCGCTTCGCTCGGTTAGATCGCGGTTTACCGGGCCTTCTGACGAAAAATAATCTTGTTCTGCTCTCCTTTCTACAATACAGCAGGAATACAAGGGTCAGGAGCGTCAAAATCCCTTATTTTTTTATTATAAGTCTACTTTATGTTACAAGAAGGCGTAACGGAGGGAACCTTTGACCCCTGCGGACCCTTGGGGCCCTTAGGGTCATAAAGGTCTCAGGGTGTAGCAAGATTACAAGGGTCAGGAGGGTCAAAATCACGTTTTTAAATTATTATGCGTCTATTTGATGTTACACGAAGGGATAACGGAAGGGACCTCTGTGACCCTGCGGACCCCAAGGGTCCGAGGTTCTCAGGGTGCAGCAGGGTTACAAGGGTCAAGCGGGTTAAAATGTTATGCCTTCTGATGTTGCCAGAAGGGGTAACGGAGGGGGCTTTTGTAACCCTGCGGACCCTTTGGGCCCTTAGGATCATAAGGGTCTCAGGGTACAGCAGGGTTACAAGGATCAAGAGGGTCAAAATCCCTAATTTTTTTTATTTTAAGTCTACTTGATGTTACAAGAAAGTGTAACGGAGGGGACCTTTGACCCCTGCGGACCCTTGGAGCCCTTAGGGTCATAAAGGTCTCAGGGTGCAGCAAGATTACAAGGGTCAAGAGGGTCAAAATCACTTTTTTAATTATTATACGTCTATTTGGTGTTACAAGAAGGGATAACGGAAGGGACCCTTGGAACCAAGAGGGTTACAAGGATCAAGAGGGTCAAAATCCCTAATTTTTTTCATTTTAAGTCTACTTGATGTTACAAGAAAGCGTAACGGAGGGGACCTTTGACCCCTGCGGACCCTTGGGGCCCTTAGGGTCATAAGGGTCTCAGGGTGCAGCAGAGTTACGAGGGTCAAAAGGGTCAAAATCCCGGAAAAACTAATACTTGGCTACAAAATGGAAAAATCAACTGTCTCTTTACAATATATCATCAATGTGATTGCAGTGTTCTGAAAGTACCGAGTGCTGCACGTCCTATTGTCGGGCTGGACGCTGCATTAAGTGTAAGTAAATGAATTGTTCTTCTAATCAATAGAAAAATTGTTGATTACATTTCCAGTTGAATTATTCACTTTTAGGGGGAGAGGTTCCGGATGACAAAGCTACTGATCCTTGCGCTACGGTATTCTGTGCAGGCGGGCCGTGTATCATTAAAGAGGTTCAGTGTATTCGAGCGCCATGTCCTGGAATTCCTCACTGTATTCAAACCAAAAGATAATTCGCGAAAACTATAAATACAGTCGGAGCCTTTTACATCAGAGAAAATTTATTAGGTTTACGAAGTGTTAGAATGATAACAGTATCGAGAAGATGTGTCTCATATAGACGATTTCATTCTTCATAGGGAATCACATATTGTTGATTTATACAAATCATTCCCGTAATACAATAAACATATTGATAGATTCAGATTATTTGTACAACTACAACCCTCACTGAAAACAATGACAATGTTTCAACGTCTTCATGTAAAAAAAAGCCAATATACGGTCATCCACACGGAAAGAATATAAAATGAAAAATTACTATGTGAACACAGTAATCCAAGACTATATCGGAAAAACGTTAAAATTTGATCTATTTCAACTGAATTTTTGCGATGTTAAATTTCTTTTTTACTATTCAAGATGATAATTTTGAATAAAAAAAGCAGTATAAAATGGGTTTACAAAAAATAGTATATTTCGATACGAGTGAAATGGGAATTTTCAGCTCACATGTGTCGAACAATATTTTTTTGACAGTCATGTTACATTCAATGAGTGGCCGAACTGTGCCTCTTTCGCTTACAAGTACACTAATAAGACTTTTCGTTTATGTTTCGATCACCAGTAAACGCCGAAATAGTATTTTTCCGGGCTGCTGCGATGGGGTTTTTTACTCGTGTAGCGTTGGCGTCCGAGCTGAAGGCCAGGACTGGCCAACCACACGAGTAAAAAACCCCATCGCACCAGCCCGGGTCACGATTTTTTTGTAGTGATTTTCAAGTTTTCGAGTTTGGGAAGTATGCAATACCAATTCCCAGACGAGAAATCGTGAGAAGCAGTACAGAAAAAGCACTTTTCGGCACGAGGTGAACATAGGAGTAGTGTCAACTCATAGGAGTAGAGTATATTTCGTAACGAGTGCAAAAAAGTGTTTTTTGGCGAGTGATATAATCCCACGAGCTAAAAAACATTTTTTCACGAGTTACGAACAATATTTTTCATCACAATGTGGCGGAAATTGGACTTTTAGGCACGCGGAGCGTGCCGAAAAGTTCACTTTTCGTCAGCGTGATGAAAATTATATTTAAGAGCGTCTTAAATGCTATTCTTTAAAGGCAGTTTTACTATTGAATCAATGAAGAATGACTCAAATCGTATGAACTTTTACTGTCACATCGTTGTTTTTATGTTAAAAAATTTTTA